GCGGGGGTTACGAAATAAGGTCGAATCAGGATGGCATATCCTCAACGGGGATTTTTTGGAAGAAACGAAACAGGATGGCACATCCTTGGCACGGTTGGCAACGTATGCTTTCAAGGCAAGGGAAAAATCGTTCTGACGCGTCTTGATAAGGTTTACTCGCATGGCTAAAGCCGTTGAGCGCATGGCCCGGTCCATACTTTGGCTGAACATTAAACTCTTGCTACACCTGGATCGCGATCTGAGTTCTGCACCGTTGAAGTCACTCCGGTCGTGGGTTGAGGTCAATGTGATCCCCACCCTTCCCGCCCGAGCCGCGGAGGGACAAGGACGCCTCCAAGTGTCAAGGGTCGTCATGCTTACGAAAAGCTCGCTAATAATTGAGGGTGACTTGAATCAGGGACTCCCGCTATCTATAAATAAATCTGTGGGCGTTTAGATCCTCGGCAATCGACCTGTTGGCGTCTGTAGTCAACCTTAAGAGGAACTTATAGCCGCGGGAATATGCCAAAGGCCAACAGCCAATGATCGAGCGGCTGTTCCAATCCAGGCGCCTTAAGGCTACCAAAGGTAGCTTTCTGTACTAAAGAAATGATGAGCAGCGAATGTTCCGGTGGTTCATGCGAATGCCATATGGCGAAGGCGGAAACGAACCCTCTCCCAGCTCCTATCCGCTGCTCAAAGATGCACCCTCCACGAGCAAAGATGACGTCGTGATTCATTGGAGTGGCTATGCTGCGTGATTTGGAGATGCATTTTAGGGTTAGCAGCAAGTGTCGACTGGGGATCGCAGGGGCCGATTAGACGGTGAGACGGAGTGCCAAGCAGCCAAGGACGGCGTATATACCACCGCATCCAGGTCTATAATGGACTCGATCGTGTGATGTCGCTAGGTGATGTCGCTGGCTATGAAGCGGGGAATGTGGTTTCAAACCTTGCGAAGGGTTTAATACTGCATAACACTCCTACCGACATTAAGTAGAGCCAACAGTCAACAAATCAGCATGACGTTGGTTCACCAGTCAGGCAAGTCGTCGACCAGGTTCAACTTGTAATGGAAATGCCGACAACGAGACGCAGTGGCGAGGTGGCTCTGCCTCTACTCTGATAGACTTCGTGTGGGTGGGTATCGTTCGTCATGGTCAACCTGAGCCACCATATACGGTCAGCATCGACGCAATATCGGCACCCTATAACAATTGAGTTGCTGCAAACCTCAGAGTATCACGATGTACGCAAGCTGGAGGGCTTTTTTGCGAGGCTCTCACACAGTTTCTTCCTGCATATTGCTTTCGTTCAACGTGCTGAACGGGTATAACGGATATGAGCTGTTGAACTCCGGTTGTTCTGTCCAGTCAACCCACCTGCTCGAGAACAAGAACTGCCGACAAGGAATATCAGTGAACCTTTCTGATGTACAAGACCCCGCACGCCACACCCTATATTATAGTCGAAAATGATGGTTTTAATCACACTGTGACGACCCAGTGGTGCAGTCGGGTGTATCCTGGCTAATCGTCATTGCGCAATATCTTGACAGGACGGAATACACATACTCAAACGGCAGCCTTCGAAGAGATGCTGCGCGCAGCAGCCCTCTTATCGTTCACTTTCTCATCTGGCTATTCGATCTTGTATGCAGTCATTCTCATCTCATCTCGCGTATCTACACCCTCTTGGCGCGACTGTTCCCGTCACTAGATACAGTGATGGCCGTATGCTCGATGATGGGCCGAAGTAGCGATGTTACCTACACATTGCGTAGCATAGTATCTCTGGTCAACTGCATCGAACAGGAGGCAAACGACCATGTTTTCCACTCGTTGAGCGGAAATGTACTGGTAATCCCGGTAGCCATCTACGGGCTGTGCGCGTGACTCGTCTAGAACCAGCCTAGTTTCGACCCTCGCCACGACAGACTAGACGACCCTCGCCACGACAGACCAGACGAACCTTACTTCGCAAGTGGGAGGACACCAAACAGAAATTGAAACACCGAGCTTAAATCTGCAAACTATTATAGGTCGTTTGATCGGCTCGACGGCAGAATATCCCGAATGTGGCCTTGGTCGTTTGATAATCAAGGCGAACAACGGGCCCCAGCGGCACCGATGTTCAAGGCTGAGAAAATTGGTAAGCTACAGTTGTTTTCTGGCAGGATCCAGATCGACCCATTCTCAGTATTATCAGTGGGCATGAACCTGGATACTTCGAAATGCGTGCGGCGTACGTCCGGCACTTGGGCGTCACTGTTTTTTTGGATGCCCTAGAGGCGGCAGATGTCTGCTTTACAACCGGTCTTGCTTTCGGGCCTTCGTGGCGATGCATTTTGCCCCCGCAAGAACCCCCTCCTCTGCCTGCAAGTAACTCTGCTCTGACAAGAAATTTCTGTAGGACAGAATCTAGCCGACCTACCAGCAATAGGTGCCCCGGGCTATAGAATGTGCGCCTCCCACCCCTGGGGCGTTGGGATGGCCGCGTTGCCATCATCGGACGCAAAAATTGACTTTGTTTCACTCTCATAGTCCAACACAAGTGATTCATGGCTAAGAGGGGTGGGAAAACAATTGCGAGGTGTGGCGCCGAACATCAGATGCAGTCCACGGCGCCGAGAAGCACAGCACAAGCGGGGTTGTGGTTGAGACTTCCGACGACGGGATGCCCCGGCTGGATGCCGAGAATAGATCCGCAACCCAAAAGGCTAATCCGTGGCGAGTTTCGATGGCAGCAATCCGTTTTCTGTTTCCATTTCGCCTCACTACATGTACATTCAGGCATATAAAGGGAGGTCTCTCAACACATCTGTGATCAGGTTATTTGTTGTCTTACAAGCTGATCTCTCACTTTTCTTCCCGCCAGTTGATCGAACACCGCCGCAGGTTTTGTATTTCTGCGCATCGCCCTTAAGGTATGTGATAGTTTTCGCCTCAGAGTTTTTATCTCAAGACTACCACGACTTTTGGCGTCCGATACATTACCTGACATCAAGACAGGATCAGTTTAGAGAGCAAATCTATCTGCTAATCAAACCAAAATGGCTGGCTTATCTGTCAGTCGGAGGAAGCCACCTCCCCCAGTGCTGAATCTCAAAAACATTAATGATCAGCATCAAAAGCGACAAGCGCCTCCAAGACCTCCAGGGGCTCCTCCTCCGGGACCTCCAGGACCTCCAGGGGCTCCTCCTCCAGCACCTCCAGGAGGTCCTCCTCCAGGACCTCCAGGGGCTCAAAAGCGACAAGCGCCTCCAGGACCTCCAGGGGCTCCTCCTCCTGGACCTCCGGGGGCTCCTCCTCCAGGACCTCCGGGGGCTCCTCCTCCAGGACCTCCGGGGGCTCCTCCTCCAGGACCTCCGGGGGCCCCTCCGCCAGGACCTCCAGGGGCTCCTCCTCCAGGGGCTCCTCCTCCAGCACCTCCAGGGGCTCAAAAGCGACAAGCGCCTCCAGCACCTCCAGGGGCTCCTCCAGCACCTCCAGGGGCTCCTCCTCCGGCACCTCCCCCTCCTGGGGCTCCTCTTCCACCACCTCCTCCTGGGGCTCCTCTTCCACCACCTCCTCCTGGGGCTCCAGGGGCTCCTCCTCCAGCACCTCCCCCTCCTGGGGCTCCAGGGGCTCCTCCTCCGGCACCTCCCCCTCCTGGGGCTCCTCTTCCACCACCTCCTCCTGGGGCTCCTCTTCCACCACCTCCTCCTGGGGCTCCAGGGGCTCCTCCTCCGGCACCTCCCCCTCCTGGGGCTCCTCTTCCACCACCTCCTCCTGGGGCTCCTCTTCCACCACCTCCTCCTGGGGCTCCAGGGGCTCCTCCTCCAGCACCTCCCCCTCCTGGAGCTCCAGGGGCTCCTCCTCCGGCACCTCCCCCTCCTGGGGCTCCTCTTCCGGCACCTCCCCCTCCTGGGGCTCCTCTTCCGGCACCTCCCCCTCCTGGGGCTCCTCTTCCAGCACCTCCAGCTCCAGCTCCAGTACCTCCTCCGCCAGCTGTTCCTCCTGCGGCACCACCTCCAGATCCAGGAGCCCCTGCCCCGGCACCTCCGCCTCCCGGTGCTCCTCTTCCAGTACCTCCAGCACCGGCTCCAGCTCCAGCTCCAGCTCCAGCTCCTGTTTCTCCTCCAGCCGATGCGGCCAATCCTCCTCCAGTTGCGGTTCCCCCGGCAAATGCTCCCCCAGCCGATGCTCCTCCGGTCAATGCTTCGCCTGCTTCCGGCCCTCCTCCAGCTGCGTTAGTTCATGGTGAGCATCAAAAGCGACAAGTATCACCGCCTCCCTCACCTATAAATCCTCCTCCCACGTCACCACAACCACAGCCACAGCCGTCTTCGCCTCCACCTCCCCTTTCTCCCGGAGCGCCGCCGCCGCCTCCTCTTTCTCCTGGACCACCTCCTCCGCCTCCCCTATCTCCTGGACCGCCGCCGCCGCCGCCTCTTTCCCCTGGACCACCGCCTCCGCCGCCTCTTTCTCCTGGACCACCGCCTCCGCCTCCCCTATCTCCTGGACCACCGCCTCCGCCTCCCCTATCTCCTGGACCACCGCCTCCGCCTCCCTTATCTCCTGGACCGCCGCCGCCGCCTCTTTCTCCTGGACCACCCCCTCCGCCTCCCGGAGCGCCGCCTCCTCCGCCTCCTGGAGCGCCGCCTCCTCCGCCTCCCGGAGCGCCGCCTCCTCCGCCTCCCGTACCACCACCTGCGCCTCCAGTACCGCCGCCTGCGCCTCCAGGAGCACCTCTTCCCCCACCTCCTGTACCTCCAGTAGTACCACCGCCGCAGCTGCCACCACCTCGACCGCCAGTTCAGCAGACCCCTACAAGTACAGTCACCATTACACTCCCTCCCGCGACCGTCACAGTCACTGCCACAGTTTTCCCCGCTCCGAACCCCGCCGGATTAACCAATGCCGAAGGCGGTACACGTGGCGGAAGCGGAAGCGGAAGTGGTGGACGAATGCCAGATCAGGGATCCATTAACATCAATATGACCCAGGGCAGCCCGTACCTCACGGGTCTTGTCGGAGCCAGCCTTGGCGTCATGGGACTACTATGTGAGCGCGCTATGCCCAGCTAATTACAGACTGATGCTGATGTATATGACTATTAGTTATGTTGGTGCTCCTGGTGAGTGGCATTTTCCTGTGGCGCAAGCGCAGACGCCGTCATACGGAGAGGGTTCTCCCTATGGGCATGCCACCAATGCCAGCATACGACTTGGAGGATTATAATCCGCCCCCTCCCCACGAGCTGCCTCGGAAGATGTGAATGGCTGTGATTGCGAGTTGTTTATCAGAGACTTCTTGTTCCTGATTTCTTTCCAACAGTATATTCTCAGTATTACTCCCCTTTCTTTATGAGTTCTAGCAGCAATGTGGTACTACGTCAGTCGCTATAGGAATTTTGTACTCTTATCTATAGTTGATAGCAAGCCGAGACTGTATACAATGGGCTGTGTTATTTTCATTTATTTATTCTGCATCTTATTCAGTCTCAGACAAAGATCGTTTACGCTGGTCAAAATAGCTGGATGTCATCACACGATTGACCTGGCATAACCTGAATAGTGCAATAAATCTAGCCATGAAGCAATATTCTTACCACATAAGTCTACTCCACGAATTGGATTCCATGACGAGTGATACTCGCTTATCTATCTATCGTTTGCGTAGTAGCTATGTCAATATCAATGAGCCGGCTGCACAGCTAAAACAGCTTAGTTTTCTAATCTCCGTTTCACCCAAATAAATGGCCTGAGGTGCGCATGGTTCATTTTAGCTCAAACGGGACGACATCGCTGGTCTGTACCTGCATACATCTCCAACAAGAAGTCCGTGAGGCGTTTTACTTGTAAATAGGGGTCCAACGCATGGGACGGGGTCTTTGCACAGATGCTCCTTGCATCATGCGACGTTTGACGAGGTCATTCTAATACACGTGCCCTGACGTCTGTAGAAAAGGAACAAGGCTGACTTCGGAAGTGGTAATGTAGGTTGCTTATGGCTATCTGGCCGGGCCGATGGCTGCATTGATGCACTACTGAATACACTTATGGCACTGGGTGTATATCTATCTTCACATCCCCAACCATCATCGATTCCTACTCGGTAGTCCTACCGAGTGTTTTATTTCCATCCGTCTGATGCCACCTTTTGAGACACAAGATGCGCATTACATGGAAATACTCGACTTCCTTTTGGTTCTTTCTGCCCCTCGGGGGTGTTTCTTATGCTTTCCCGGCGATATCCTCTCCTGCAAGTTCTATGGATCAACGCAATACCGAAGCAGTGACACCATGATTTCGTGACTCCAACTAAGCTCGGCCAAATGTTGGACGAATTAGGTTCAATCGGAGCCAAGTGAGTCTCGAGGCGCTAGGGCCTTTCAAGTTCCAAACACGCCCCTTCCGGAGCTCAGAGGCTTTTGCTCTATAAGAGACTGATGGTTCGATTTATGAGGAACTCGGGATGCAACAACATGGTCTAGAGACAGGGGCCGTCTCAAATACACTACGTACCGAGATGCTCCCTATTGTGACCAGATGGACAATATGAGACCCGGTGGCGGGTACTAACGATTAAGGTCGACGCTGAGTTGAGATGAAGTCGCATCAGGGTAAAAGACGCGAGGAACGTAGCCGGAGGCACAGACCAGCTGGGTCAGGGTCTCGCCTCCTCGCTCCTCGCGCTCATTTTTCTTTGCCGCCGTCTCTTTGCTGTTTGGCGATAATCCACCGGTGTCTCAGGCCATATTCAACTTATCATAGCGCATCATCATCTTAGCTGGAGTGACTTCTGAGCAATCGAGAGAACATCTTGGTGATTTGGGAGGCAACCATCATCACTGTTGACGCAGGTATCATCACATGGAACTCGTTACTCGCTCTAGCTCGTGCAAGCTCCGGGCAGGCCAAGGCACGTACTCGCGTCATGGAGGAGGGTATATTTCTCAAATTAAGCTCCAAACATGTCGGGAAAGTTCAATGAACCCCCAATACACTCATTCGGACATCGATAAATTGAGTACGATGGTCGTTCCCCAAAACTCCGTGTCCGAAAAGCATAGCGCTTCGGCCCTCGTGCAGCTTTTCGGTTGCTTAACCCATTTAGATTTTGAATTCTTCAGGGGTGTTCTTCGTCGGTTTTGCACCTCAGCATTACATGTCTATATTTCAGCAAATTCGTGTTACTGAAAGCAACCCATTGTTCTCAAGAATCCTCACAAGTCCGTGCCATTTGTAAATAAGACACAATAATCAGACTTGAATTCGACGAGTAGACTAGGTTTCGAACTGAAAATGACATTTTGTGAGGCGCCCAGTCGCTCGGGTCGAGAAAGGTATCCGCACAGGCAAGACTAGCGTGAGGTCGTGAACCATGGCGAATTACTAAAGCGCCATCTTGGAAAGATCACCGACATCTCTGAACTACGATAGGATAGTGACACTGTGACTCCATGGTTTACTCCAGGCGCTCGGAAAGCCACATTAGACTCTTGTTCAGCACACAGTACACTGGGCTTCTGGGAACATTTATTGAGGTCCAATCCTCACCAGAGTAATTGGCGTGGCATTCATATGACTCTCCTCCAAAGCTCCACCTACCGCCAGATTGTCCCCCACCGATGCACTGCCCGATAATATTACCCATGGCTTCCTGCGATGCAAGTCAGTACCGCGAAGTTGTTACATGAAGAACCGGCGAGAAGCACGCCTACAGCTTCAGTGAACTCACCTCGCAATACAGAGTCTGCTTGTTCTTTGGGACGGTCATACTGCACGACACGCCGCCGCCTGACGTGACCCCGATGACGCAGGCGCCGGGAGGCCCGCAGTTGCGGCAGAGCTCAGCAGCGGGGTTGCGGTAGGGACCGTCTGCTTTAGGCTTGCCACCGAAGCAGTCTGCTGCCAGGGCAACAGTAGAAAAGAAGAAGACGAAGGTTGACATAAGTAGTTTCATGATGGTTGTGACGGCTCTTTGTGACTGACTGGTGTATCTGTGAAAAGGGACGACCTGGTTGATGATAATAATATCATTTCTGTGAAGACCTAGTAATGCGTCATATGAATTCAAAGGAAGTCTAGGGAGCAGGAACCAATCTATAAATTCACATTCCAAGCCGTAAGGATAGTCTTCTCAAAATTGCATTCTTCTTTGTCAATAGTGGTTCATGGAGGTATGTACTGGCCCCGCCCTGCTGCCGAGCACGCGTTATTGACGCAAATCATAGTCCCCATCAGCAAGACACCTTGGATATAATCGAGTGTTGTCACTATCTCCAAACTCGGTCCAAATGCATCAGACCAGCTGACTGTAATACAATAAACATTTCTTGGCTTAAACAAGGATTTCAGATGCTGAGCCTCTCCCAATTGCAAGCGTATGTGATAAGAGACAAGTCTAAACTCTTCCGTCCTAATGAATCGCTATGGATAGCTAATATCACCATTCTTACCCAGAAATAGAGCCACCTTTCCCTTAGGAGCTTGGGACCTCACTCACCGCATGTGCATTTCAGAGCATAGGTATCAATATAGTGTATTCCCCGGGGCGTATGTTGTGTTGATGTAGAATTAGAGTTCTGAGTAATCACGCTATGGATCCATGTTATCGCAACTTTAGGCATTCAAGAAACCCCTGGTTTGGTCCAGTCACGCCTAGAATTATTGGGTGTTGGCAATCAACTCTCATCCTTTTTATTGATCTGACCCCTGCAATCTGCAGCTGTCACACTTAAGCTCGGCCGCTAGTACCATTCAAGCATGTAGCTGAACGGATTGTCGAGCAGAAGCGCAGGCTTGAGCGGGTCCGCCCGAAGTGCATGGTCACTCGTGGGTTCACTCGTCGTGAAGTTCAGCAAAGCTCGTGCATGGAGCCGAGGCTGATCAACCTAGGAGCTCTTCTCACAGTGTTCGTACCCTTTTTAGCGACGTCGAACTCCCTGCTGCTTGTCCCCAGTGCCGCTCAACGAGATTCGTGAGCTACCCCGTAGAACAGCTGACCAGGACGAGAAGGCTGTATGAGGCTACATGGCCCCTCTGGCATTCTGTGTCTGGAGTAAGCGGCTTGCAGAAAATTGTCCCACTCTGAGTAGTTATCAGAAGTTGGGGAATTGGCAACGATTCTCGTTGCCGGCTCGTATCATTTGTGACTCGATGTCCGACTCAAGGTCCTCAGGGAAGCGCCAGCACGCTCAATGCTGGACCAACCGTAAGCTCCCTTCGAAGCCATCTTTTCACCCCGAGTAGCATTCACAAAGTACGTCGACGACCCAGAACTGCTGTAGACTTGACGACGTGGCAGAACCAGGGGGCCTACATCGACGACTGTGAGAACATTGCTCAACGCCTGGCGAACTCCAACGTGCGCATCAACCTTCCGCCCCAGAGATCCGAGGAGTTCCGCTCGAACCAGTTTCGCTGCAAGATCATCATTCGCAACCAGAGTACCAGCCAGACCTACAACCCGTACCGTGCCACACTTGGCGTTGCGGCCCAGGATACCATGGACTGGTGCCCAAGCCTGTCTCAGACCAGCGGCTGGGGCTATTCGACTGGTGATCCAAACCTGATCTACATCGTGGAGCCTTTGGATATCAGCCCCCCTGCATACTCGCCTGCGTGTAATTGAGACGATATCGCAACGGCCTCGTTGGGGACATACCGATTCAGTCTGGTAAAAGTCAGCTTCGTGTATAGAAGATGACTGTATGAAAGGTTCCTCACGAAAAGCCTGACTGACCATCCGAGAACGGAATGGGAGGCTCTTCTTGGTTTGGGATATCTTAAAGGGACATTCCTTTTCCTTTGTTTGTCACTTGCGGCCGCCCTTGGACAAAAGTGTTTTTCCTGTGGTTTCGATGTTGTATCTTCTTCTGGATTTGAGTGTAGCTAAGTTTGAGGGTTACACTATTGCATACGTTCAATATCGTCGCGTAGCTACATCAGTTCAATTTTTCTACCATTCTTTTCTAAACAACTGCATCCGCTATTGCATTTCAAATTCTCTGTTTGTTGACAAAACTCATGCGTGTTGGGTGGTAATGCATGAACGAGCTACTTCTACGAGTTAAGCTTATTCTAAGTCTTTTCATGACAACGCCCTAAGCAGCAAAACACCCCTGAGGTATCTGCTTGATAGCACCAGCTCTTAACTTGATATGCATCTTCAGACCAAAATGCCTTGCCCCATTGCTCCTTCCTTTTTGTCTATAGTGACATGATAGCTCTAAGCAAGGGGTCCAAATTGAACGAGGCATTCCGTCTCACCACATTACAATATCCTTGTCTACTTTACAGTGTTTAACTCCCGCTTCTCTGAACATGGACTTGAGCTTTTCAGTGGCGATTCGGGAGTCCAAGTCATCAAAGGCGAGCTCCTTGAGGCGAGGCATCATCCCGTCCCTACAGTGGTTGGCAAACCATCTCAGGCTGTCGTAAATGCGGTCGATGGGACCGTCAATATGAAGCCGTCGCAGAGACGGGGGGAGAGTGTGAATTAGCCTGACCGCCGAAGCCGGGGTCGGTTCCTCCTCCAGAAAGTTGGACTCGGATTCGATCTCGACGTCGGTTTCGACGTTGTCTCCCTCCGCCCACCCGCAGCTCCATGCATCGACCCACAAGCTCTCCAAACAGTGAAATCTCCCAAAAGTATCGAGGAACTGGGCGGTTCCGTCATCTCGGATTTTCGGGCCGCAGTAGATGCACAGCGTTTTCAGGGACTTTCGGCTGTTACGCAAGGCTCTTTGCATTCGCACGGGAGAGGGTAGTGAGTGCCTAAGGTGGTCAGCCATGTTGTCGGTTCTCAAGTAGGTGAAGCTTGCGAGACTCTTGCAGGACTCCAGGAAGCGATACACAGAGATCTTTCCGGGAGGAAAGAAAACGTCTTGTAGAACGAGACTGTGGAGGAAATGGTTGGAGAGCGTCATCTGGAATGTAACCCGTAGGCCAAAGCCACGCAGATAGACTTCAGAGACGCCCTTTACTACATCCGCCATTCTGATGATGTCTTCAAGATCCATGCAGTCGCCTCCCCGCACTTCAGGCTGGTCGGTCTCTAATGCTAGTGATCGGAGATTTGGAAGAGGGTTTACTGAGCATTGATTCCACGTCGATTTTGGTCGTCGTGACATGAGTTGATCGGGGAAGATGGAAAACAGTCCGAGAGATACCGAAAGGCTGATCTCCTTGACATTCCGCAAGTAGTAGCACATCATGGCGCACAAGATACTGAGACATGTTTTGTCGTGTTTATATGGGCCGACGCCAGGGTCTGGGTCTTTGTAGTCGTCGTACTTGAGCGCGCTCGATAGCACCGCATCATCGACAACGACGCCGATTGTTTCCGCCCATGTCCTCAGGGAACGTAGCTGCTCGTAGCTCACCGATGTGACTTTTTTGTCGAACGGGATGAGCCGCAGATGAAACCGCTGGATGTGATGGCCAATCTCGGGCCGCACGCGGATGAGGCGCAGTAGGGAGAGCAGCTTCTGGGCGCTGTTATGCCCGTGGATGCTGACGAAGCGGTATTTCTCCGCCTTGAGCGCCTCGTGTAGCGCTTTGCATGCGCTCGAGAGGTTGATGACGGAAGAGCGCTCACGGTAAAGGGACCTGGCGAGCGGTTGGTGTTGTCTGTTGATGCTGGTCTCGAGCAGGCGCTTCTTCGCGGGCTGGTTGCTCCAGAGAAAAGAGGCAATGATAAGCAGGAGCTCTGTTGGGAGATCTGGCAGCTTTGCCATAGTGGGCAGCATCGGTGGTTCTAGTAATGGTGAGAGAAGTTAAGACAAAGCTGGAGCTGAGGCAGAGTCGAAAGGGCGAAGGAAGCCGTTGACTGTCGACTGTTGACCGTTGGCCGTTGTCTCGGATTCTGGCCGCCTCCGAACAGGCAGTAGCATCTCAGCAGGTTGGGAGATGCCGCGCCGCGGCGCTACTGCCTCGGTCCGTCTGAGACACTTTGGTTCAAGGAGGGCTCGGGTCGTCGTGACTTCCCCCCACAAACTACAAACGCAATCCTGCATTGGTGCATATCTCGCGTGATGACACAAGCCGTTCGGCTCTGGCTCTCGGATATGGGGGCGTTCTGGGCTCGTTCTCGGATGACGAAACTAGCACGTACGAGGCACTTGATTCAAAAGGATATAGACCTGGTCTTCGGCGAAATGGAATGACAGAATTCTTGGATCGAGGGATTCCCACAACGCCAGTGCCGCATCGACGGTGTCCTCGCTGGTGATACCCGCTTCCTCTGCCTCGGCCTTTATTGGTCGCATTTGCGTTACGCTAATCAACATGGGAGAAGACTTCAATGATCTGACGCCGAGATAAAGTCGCTTGGTACTGTGTAATAAAGCAGGCTAGGATGGCAGGAGGTGAAGAAACAGCAGCTGACGAGAGCTGTTGCGGCTGAATGTGCTGACGAAACGGTATAGTTTCCTCGTGGAGGCTCGTTCGAGAGATTAGCGGTTCTTGCTATTGTGATGTTAGACTGCATAAGATGAAGTTTAGGATGACAGCAAGCTGCTGATAGTACAGATGAGACTGGTGTGGTATGCGCTGCTAAGGCAAAGAGGTTTCGAATGGAATGGTGAGAGATGCTGGAGTCAGAACGGTGGCGAGGTTGGATGTCCAAGGGATGAGATGTCTCTTTTGCGTGGACAGTAACAGGGTTGAGGCGACGACGACCTCGTTTGCTTGATATGCCAATGTCGACAACGCAGAGGCTCTCATATGGCAGCGAGCTCTATGGCCCGGGCCAGCAGTGAATGGAGGGAGCATGGTAGTCTCAGGGGCCGTATAGTCGTCGACGAAGACAAGTTGGCCAGCGCGTCAAAGCAGAAAACTTATAGCATTCGCACGAGCAGGTATCATTTCTTTATTTCTATGCCGCCTCCAAAAGACAAAATGCCCAAAACACCTTACACACCCCCAACCACGAACAACTCACCCGTCCTCCAACGGCCTCCTCATAAAGATCTCCAACGCGCCCCTCATCTTCTCCTCTACCGCTTTCCTCTCCTTGTCCCTTGCCGGCAGGCCCACGCGGCAGACCGCCTTGCCGAGCACCTCGCCCACCCTCCTCTCGCGCGCCCGCCGCCTCGCCAGCGCCGCCTCGGCCCCCGCGCTGCCGCCCGTCGACCGCCTAAAGGTGAGACTCCTCCGAGTCGGCCTCTGCGTCATCAACGCTTCGGCCACGGAGCGCGAGATGGGCGCCAGCTCCGCGACGACCTTGGACAGCGTCGCCATCAGGAAGACGAAGGCGATATTGTGGTTCGGCGCCATTGCGAGGATGTCGAGTACCGCCGTCTTGTCGTCCTCGACCTCGGTGGGGGACCGCGTCACCGCGCCGGCGGTGCTGAGGTGGGGGAGCGTGAGCTCCATCTTGGCCCAGAGGGCGGACGTGATGATGCCGTCGGTGAGGCCACCCAGGAAGAGGACCAGCACCTCGGCGACGACTTCGAGCCGGTAGAGCGACGGCACCTGAGCGGGGAGGGCGTCGACGAGTGATTGGTCATTGTCGAGTGCCTCGATTAGGGCGACCACGAGGCTGTCCCTGGACTCTTGGTCTTTGAACAGCCACGCCGTCTCGTCAAACGGCCAGCCGGGCTTGTCGGCGGGAACGACATGCTCCTCGATCATGTTCGCATCGGCGATGGCGCGGGCCGTCATGGTCTCCACAGCCTCTGTCAGTTTGAACAGCTCCTTTGGGGCGGCGCAGTGCACGTCAAGGTCGTACGGGATGGAGCTGGTTCCCGTTGTCTCCGCCCTGGACTTGAGGAAAGCCCGGATCCCTCCGTCAGGGACACGGATGAGCTCGTCGATCGAGCGGCCGAAACACGTCGGGAGCCAGGACGCGCGGACCGGGATGAAGTGGTCCCTGCCGTCCTCGACCCGAAGCACCAGAATGTCTTCCAGCGATGCACGGCCGTCGTTGAGGGCTCGTACGTGAGGCATGTCGCTGACGTAGACCTCGATAACGCCGCTCACAGTCTCACCCGGCTCCAACGTCACCTCACTGCCGAGATCTGGCGACTCCTCGCCGTTGCCTTGGATACTCGTCCGCTTGAACCATGTCTTGAGCCACTCCGCTTGGCTGGGGGCGTCCGGGTCTTGCTCGATCGTGGGCTTCTCGACGAAAGTGAACTTGGCCGGCACTCGGCCGGTGTTGGCTATCGTCAGGCTCGCGCTATGTCTGCTGCGATAGCCGACTTCGCCAAAGTCGACAGCCTCGTTGAGGCCCATGGACTCATGTGCGTCCTTTGTTGACTGGTGTGGATTGTCGAGGATGAGTGTGATCAAAGGTCGACCCTCGTTCTCGGCGCGGTCCAACTCCTTGGCAACTTCGGCATGGACCTTGGCCTTGAGATCAGGGACCACCGCATCATAGTCGAGCGTGAAGATGGAGATTATCGGTTTGTGGTCTGACGAGACTATCCGCTGGTGAGAGGTGTAAATGTCGAGATGTATTCTGTCCGTGAACCCTTCCTTTGTGACGACTTCCTCAGGCTCGTTCTCGTCGTCATCGTACTCGTCGTAGTCGACGCCGGCTTCGCCAGTCGGAGGTTCCTCGCCGTCCGCGTCGGGATCGTAGCTGAAGAGGACGTCGTCGTCGTCTGTTGCGTGATCGATACCCCGCGCCGTCATCTCCTCGTCCTTCTTCCTCGCCTCCTCCGCATCTTTGACCCTTTGCTCATACTCCTCCCTGTCCTTCCTTGTTCGGTACAGGATGCGGTCGCACCAGCTCGGAGCTCTTTGTTTCTCGCTCGAGTCGAACAGGCTGACTGTGCCGACGTCGTATTTATATGATGGCAAAAACGTGATTGGGCCTTCTCGCCACCCATCGTGGAAGGCCTTCTTCTCCTTGATGATCCTCCGCAGTTGATCGTGGGGCAAAAGGGAGTCCAGAGTTGCCTGCAACGAAGCAGGGTCTTCACCCGGGTCTGGCAGAAATTCATCGGGGTCTGGCAAGGAGCTTTCTGAATCGTCGAAGGTGGGCGATGACAGGGAGGTATCAATGGTGGAGGTGTCGTCGTCGCTGCTGTCAATTCTCTTGACCACCAAAATCTCCTCGCCCGCGATGACCTTTCGGCCTTTCTTGTCCAGATCGTACTCTCCGCGTGTATGCAGCAGGAGCAGGTGCCGAATATCGTTCCCGGGAAGGCCATCAACGCGGAAGTTCAAGTCGCCCAACCAGAAGGCAAAATCCTCGTCGCCGATCTTCTCGGCGTCGGCGTCGTTCTCCCCAGCTAGGTTGATAGGGTCGAACTGGGTTCGAGTCAGGATCTGGCCAATGTCCCAGAGCCTACGGTCCAAGCACGCCTGATCTGGGCCGCTAGCGAGGTGGCAGTTGACAAAGACCATACGGGTCGTCTCGCCGAGGAGGATGCGGGTCGTCACGGCGCCCTTGTTTCCAAGGTACCCGAACAGACCTGTGCCTACTGAAACGGTGCTCACATTGCTGATAGTCGGCGCGACTTCGGGGGAAGCATACGCTAACAACAGCAGGCCGGACATTTGCTCGGCGGCGACAAGCTCGTACCCGTCAGGCATGGCCTTCTCCAGTGCTTCCTTCCACTTATTCATGGGCGCCGGATCGGACGACATGCGGTTCATGTAGTCCCTCGCCATATTCAGGTCGACGATCTCCTGCAAGCCCAGCACATACAGCCCGATCTTGCCGCCCCCGACCACGTGTACGGAGGCACTGGGGTCCTGCTCGTCGGATCCTGTTTTGGTGGCGTGCGGTGGGTTCTTCTCGACCGTGTCTCGATCAGACATGTCAAACTTGGAGAGAGTTGTGTCAAGGCCATATCCATCGACGAACCAGCTCGCCAGGTCCTTGTCGGTGCCAGGACATGCCGCAACGTTCCAAGTTCCAATCTTGACGCGGATCCGATGAGGGCGTACGTACTCTGGGCGGCGGGCGTAGACGGCACGGGCAAGGGATTGCGGCGTCGAGGTCAAGTCGACGGGGTCTGAGGTCGTCGAGGGGTTGGTCTCAGAGAGCGCCATTGCAGGAGGCTCAGCTGATACGCTGTTGCTAGGTTGAGTTGGCAACGGGGTTCGAGCTCGAGCTCGATGGTAGGGGGGGAGTCTTGGGATTTTGAGCGCTGTGAACGGCGGGCGAATGACGGCGGAGGGTGAGGTTTGAGACAAGAGGCCGGTTTGGGAGCCTTTAGCTTCGTTGGCGTGGTAGTGGTCGATCAGTCAGGAGACGCCCGGTGCATGATGTTGACAATTCCGGCGTGGATACGAGGCGTCTTAAGTGCGGTCGTGGACCAGGATAATAGCAGTAATGCAGAGAGGAGATGACGAATCCCAAGGAACGGCCGGAAGAGGTGTCTTATTTGCGGTATACAGCAAGGGAGGACCGGACGAAGCTACTGTGGAAAAGTGCCGACGAGGTCGAGGTCGAGGTCGAGATCGATAGGGGGGATTGGATAAAAGTAGCCGCAAGTATTGAATAAGCCTGGGTTGGGCTGTATAGGTAGCAAGAGTAAGTGTACGAATGTACAGATGCACTGATGTACAGATGTATACATACACTATTCGTACAGGCACATGAGAAAACAAAGGCTGGGGAAAGGGGAGAAGATGGATTGTCACCGGGATCCGGTCTGCATCTTGAATATGACGGAACGGGGGATTTCAGCCAGCCAGTGTCTCTCTCTCTCCCTTCTCCACATCCTGCATTCAGCATCAGTGACGTGCCTGGCACACCGCAGGGGCTGCCAGACACTGCTGCTGACAGCGCCACCAGGCCGCTGAATGGGGGTTACGGTGCATTTGGGTGCACCGCCACAGTGCTGGGATTGGCGGGGTAGCGACGATTAGGTCCGATAAGGTCCGATAAGAAGAGAGTGACGCCAGACGATGAGGATAAGGTACCGGTACGGCTGCTTCGGGCCCACCTCAGTAACTTGAGAGCTTCTTTCTGGCATCAACGTCCCATCCCGAAGCGTCGACACCAAGCCTCATACCCACGATCGTCTTCATACCATTTGCTCCCCGCTGAACAGTCTACTCACCACCAAACGGCCCATTTTTTTACCTCTCATTTTCCGATAAACCAATCAATCGATCGAAGAGAGAGGGAGGGAGAGAGCGCAGCCAACACGCACCTCCCCGACGCCACGCCGTCAACACCACCACAACAGCCTCCCACCACCAACAACACCACAAAGCAAAACCGCGTCCAACCCCCCCAGAATGTCCCGTCCAACCCCCCGCAAACGCGGCCACGCCCGCCACTCCTCCGCCTCCGGCCATGGCCCTCGTCCGGTGCAGTCCGACTACGAGTCCGACGCCGCCCACTACGTCGACTCCCACCCGGTCCCCGCGCCTAACCCGGCCCTCCTCAACCGCACCAACACGGATCTCAACCTCTCCGTCCTGCGCCGCTACCTCCCCTCCATCAACTCCACCCTCTCCATCGCCGCCAACGCCGTCGTCTACACCTTCAACCCCTCCCTGCCTGGCTGGGACAAGACGGGCATCGAGGGCACCTACTTCCTCTGCATGCAGGACCCGGCTCCCTCCGTCCCCGCCGCCCCCCGCGCCTGCATCTTCGTCCTGAACCGCCGCGGCCTCGAGAACGTCATTCTCGACCTCGGCGACGTCGCCGACTTTGAGGTCGTCGACGAGATCTACATCTTCCGCCTGCGCGGCGCCGGCGGCGACGAGGACGAGGGTAGTAACAACAAGGTCATGGGTATCTGGATCCACGCCGACAAGGACGACACCCGCGTCATGAACGCCGCCCTCATCGCCGAAACACTCAAACACGTCCGCGCCGCCGCCAGCGACCAGAATGACACCGATGGCGCCGCAGCCGCAGCCGCCGCCGCCGCTCCCGCGCCGCAGGAGGAGCTGGGCCCCGCCATGCAGGCCATCGGAAGGCGCCTGAGCTTGAGTGACCTGTTTGGCGCGCAGAACGGGACCAAGGGTTAGGACCCCGCCGTCACCGACGCCGATGCCGAGGCGCGGGCCCGCGCAATGGGCAGCTGGGGCGTAGTCGACGACCCCGACGTGTGGAAGGATAGGAACCGTGAGGGAGGGGCGTACCAGCCCAAGAGGCCTCAACCCTGGATGGCAAAACTGTTGCTTAAGTGCACTCCATTCTGAGCCACACGCCCATGTTGCTGTGAGGGGAAAAGGGGGCAAGGAAGACGGTTTACGCATCAGCCATGAATGTCACGGAACACTGTGGGGTGTGGAGAGGATCTCCAGAAGAAGAGAGAAGAGACAGGAATGGTGAATACCAAATGATACCCTTGATTAAGAAACGAAGAATAAGATTAAGAAAACAAGTCATTTTGTTTTTTTCATACAATGTTGCAAAGTCGTCATTGGGCTTCGTCATGCTCCGAAAAAAGCCTACCGTCGCGACTCGCAGGTCTAGATGAGGCCGTTTCCCCCCCTTATTACAACCCTCCCGGGGGGGAAGCCCGTCTGTCTTCCACCTTGGTAAACCAGACTCATGGAAAAATAAAAGAGAAACCAATTTCCCTGTCCCATTACCACCCAACCAAAACGCCCTCCAGCTCATACCGTGCCGCTGATGCTGAGCTCCCGGATCTCCTGCAACACCTGCTCGACGCGCTGGTCCAGCTGGCCCTGGGCGTACTGCTCGCGCGTGTCGGCGTCGAGGTACTGCTGCACCTGAGCCATGCGGCTGTAGGCTTCGGCGCAGAAGCGCAGCTGAATCTTGACGAGAGCCTCGAAGGTGGGGTCGAGGTAGGGCACGCGGAGGTCGATGAGCTGCGGCAGCTCCGTCGACAGCTGCTCGTTGAGCTGCTCGTACGCGGCCTTGGCCATCTCCATCTCCTTCTCGGCCCGCGGCAGCTTCGTCACGTCCTTGTCGGGCTTCTCGACGAGCTTCTTGACCTTGGCCCGCAGCGCGTCGTAGTCTAGCAGCTTGTGGCCGCGCTTCTTGATGCCTACATGGCGGGAAGGGTCAGTGCGTGGGCGTGCATGCGTGCGTGCGTGTTGGAGATGGAGAGGGGGAGAGGGAGGGGAAGGGAGAAGGGGTTCGCGTGTGGTCGGACTGACATTCATTCACGTCGGGGAAGTAGGCGCAGAAGCGGGAGATTGGTTCGAGGACGGTTTGCCTACACCCCAAGCGTCAGTGAGTCTGTCTCGTTGCGCGCAGTCGAAATCACGGCCAGGCCATCGTTCGTACTGGTAGGGGCCGTCTAGCGCCTTGATCGTCTCGGCGTCGAGGTCCTCCACGGCCTGTTTGTAGCTTCTGCTAACGCCGTCCTTGGCACCGGCGTCTCCGTAAAAGGCGTCTATCGTCTCGGCGATGCGCATCTGGGACGCAGTCATGGCTGGGAAGAAATCGGGTTAGCCCACCGCCACCGTCGGCCGGGGGAACAGGCCACCGCGGCCCGTCGTCGCCACAAACACACACACCTCGCAATGAGTCCAGGTATCCCTTGGCCTCCTTCTGCAGCCGTAACGAGGCGGTCTCCATGGTTCTGAATCGTCTGCCCGAAGAATAAAAATGTCAATATCCGCTGCCATGTTGCATCTCCAGCCCGAATAGTGGGTAGGGGATAGTTGCCCACCTCTCCTCAACTTCGTAGTCGCGGTCGTTGGTCTTCTCCACATGACCTGCCAAGATCAGAATCTCGTATCGTGGGCGTTGGTTGGGCAGGAAAGAGGGGCTCACCCGTCTTCATCATCACCTGCGTCGTCGCCCGGTTGACATTTTTCTTGAAGCCTGTAATCCTTCCATCAGTCCCGTCCGGGCCGGTAGGAGATCTCCTTCACTCAGCTTGCGCCGAGCAATGACGGGTGGCCCAAAGTGAGTCGTACCTGCCCACGACATCTTGGCCTAGTTCGGATGTGTCCCTCTTTGTCTGTTGGTAGGGGTGGGGGTGGGAGAAGACAAAGTGAAAACCCCTCAGTAGTTGGAAGAAAGTGAGTGCTTGAGCGGTGTACGTGTTGATCACGAGGTGGTTCGCAAGGGGGGTATCGTTCGGTTCGTGTAAAGGCCGTTTCGTCGTCCCAAAAGGTGGAAGATAAAGAAGGGAAATGAGTCTGGCGAGGATTTGATTGCGCGGACTCACTTGTCAATGCAGGCCAAAGAAGCCCAGTGAACAACGCCTGGCCGGCAGACGGTAACCGACGTCAGCGATGGGGAGGCTCAGACTGCGCCACGCTTACTTTATCAGTGTTAGCCTGGTCTTAGCGTCGGGTCGTTGGTGGCGCAGCCCTGCAGGCAGCCTTTACAGGGCGCAAATGCTGTTTGCCAATTCCACAGTTGATCACATAGACTCTCACTTCCGCATATTTGTATCATTATCTGTAGTAGTCTGTGTGTGTGTACATACCTACTCTTATGCACATCACCAAGACATAGCACAGTCTCCATTCATTATTTCCAATCCCTTAAAGTTTCTCCAAAAGTCCCCGGTTGGACGTTTCTTGTTTCACGTTTCACGCATCACACCAGACCTATATCACCACCACCACATCCACAACCATCACCATCACAACCAGTTCATCTGAACTAGAAACAGAGATGGCCGCACCTCGCTTCTTGCTCATAAGCCTGGGAAACCCCGAGCCTTACTACAACACACTCCACTCCGCCGGCCACCATGCCCTTAACCACCTCCAGAAGCTCCTGGGCCCTTCCCAGCCCGCCTTCCACAGGAGTCGCTTTGGCGGGAGCTCATGCCTGGCGTCAATCGGCCCCAAGTACGCTATGATCCAGAGCCCTGCCGTCATGAACGTCTCCGGCAAATGGGTCGCCAAGGCCTGGAAGGAAACCCTCGGCACCGGTGACCCAGCGGACCTGAGTCTCCTCCTCGTCCACGACGACCTGGAGGAGGAGCTGGGCGTCGTCAAGACGAGAAAGTGGAAGAGCAGCCACCGGGGTCACAACGGAGTCAAGAGCGTCAACGCCTGTCTTCGCCAGGCGGATTACCCGGGATCCGAGTGGGCGAGGATATGCATTGGTATTGGACGACCCGAAGAGCGTGAGAAGGCTACCGTGTCTAACTACGTGCTCAAGCCCATGTCAAGGCAACAACGGTCCGTCATTGAAGACAACGCAGGACCGGGGACTTATGAATGCCTTCTCGCATGGGAGGAGACGTTGGCGGCTGCAGCCGGGAAGTGATAAAGAACCCTCCGTCCATTATCCCCAGCCTCCCCAGAACCGCGGGCCTCATTATTGCTTACACACACATCTGCTCCGAAGCTGCGTCGCGAGACTGGCACGTCGGTTTTGCAGCGTTGGAAAGCCGGTCGGTCCCCTGAGGCGCGGATTGCCAACCAGCCCATCAACCAGAGACACGTCAGGTTTCGTCTCTGATGCCGGGCGCGCCTGGCTTCGGACAACGCACATGTCCTTCATCGTCATGTATTCGCGGTCGTCGAATCATCAATAGTCTCCAGGGACATCTTCAGGTAGCCTCCTCGGGTCCCGGCCGGCCATCGAGCCACTTGCTCATATACGGTCCGTCGAGCCAGTATCCGAGCTTGGCGTAGTAACTTCTCACACCTACACCAGAAATGACACTAATCTTCTCACTGCCGTGCTCGTCCCTCGCGATTCTCTCCGCCTCCTCCATGAGAAGGGTGCCGAAGCCCTGGTGCTGGAACTTCTTCGGGTCTCTGGCATGCACTGGCACAGCTGTACCGTACACGTGCAGCTCTCTCACGAGACTGGTCGGCTGTCCCACAAGCTCCTCACGGTAGGTGTACTTCTCAGTGCACTTGCGCAGGCGGAGCAGGGCTACGAGGATATCCTGCTTCGGGTCCTCGTATGCCAAGAACGTCTCCCATCCACCGTTGGCCGTGTAGTCTCGCCTGACGAGCTCGATTTGGTTCGGCCGGATCTTGTTCTTCACTTCGTTGACACCGACCTCGCGCGTCCGCACGTCGCGACATGTCGTGCCAAAGTCCTTCATTCTCGCCAGCGCCAGCTCTCGCAGGTTGCCGTTCTCGACACCAGACGTAACCAGGGGCATGGGGATGTCTCTCTGGACTCGGTAGATACGGGTCCATGGCGGGATCAGTGCCAGGATCCTGGCGACAAGGTCAATCAGGCCGTTGGGTGTGTAGTTTTGATAACGACCCGTCCGCCACAGCTCGTACAAGCCAGTGCCTCTGATGACGAGCGTCGGATAAATCTTAAGACCGTCGGTCCGGAAGGCCGGATTCTCAAAGTACTCCCGGAACTGGTCCAGATCTCTTTCCATGCCCACGTTGGGCAGGTCGGGCATCATGTGGCTCACGACCTTGAACCCGGCATCCTTGGCCAAGCAGAACGTCTCGGCGACGGCGGCGACGGTGTGTCCGCGATTCGTGTCTCTTGCAACATCTTCGTAGAGTGACTGCACCCCAATCTCCAATCTCGTACAGCCATAACGCAGCATGTCGGTAAGATGCGGCTGCCAGCAGTAATCTGGCCTCGTTTCGATTGTGATTCCGACGCACTTGATGTTGCTCATCTCGCTGGCTTCCACGGCTTCGTCGACGTTGGACGTCTGGTATCCACTGAGCGCATTGTGCAATTGGGCGATAAAGTCCTCCCTGTAGGACACCGGCAGTGACATAAAGGTACCACCCATGATGATGTACTCGACCTTGTCTACGGAGTGGCCAAGAGACTTGAGCTGATCAACACGGCCGCGGGCCTGTTCAAAAGGGTCGTACCGCGCTCGAATCGCTCGCATCGACGTGGGTTCATATCCGGTGTAGGACTGTGTGCTGTACTCGAAGTCGGAGTCAGGACCGCCGGGGCAGTAGACGCAGATGTTGCCGGTGTAAGCGATGTGCGGGCATCTGTGGGGTTTGCACATGACAGCTACCACTGCGATGCCTGACGATGTTCCTACACAAAACTGGGTCAGGACATGTTCCAACTGATCAAATTCCGGAAGAAGGAAAACACACGAATAGGCTTAGCAATCAGCTTCGGCAAGATGTATTTCTTGTAGTGTTCGGGGATCGCCGCAATAATCGCAGTCAGTGGCGGGATGTTGGCCAGTTTGTGCTTCCTGGCGAACTTGTTGCGCAGGGAGTTGAGGTTGAGGTCCTTGTGCGGGTTCTTAGGGTCCCTGACTGCCTCATGATCCTCGATCAGGGCATTTGCAATATCCGCGCAGCATCGCAGGAAGCGCTCGTTCTCGGGCGGCAGGTTGTCGTTCCTGGACCGCGCCTTGGTGACGGTGGCGGTGATAGTGGCCATCTTGACAGAGAAGTGCGTCAAATGACCGGCGTGAAGTCAGTTCGGAAGAGTTGCGAGGATCATTCGGTTTGGGTCGGGCCGGGTAGTTTGCCTGCCGCAATTTTGCCCACGTCGCTCCAAGCCCTTGGAATAGAGTCACTGTTGGATTGGAGTTGACCGTCCGGTTCTCTTGACTGGGAAATTTTGGAGGGACTGTCGAGGTGCTGGATGGTGGGGTAATCAGCCACACTGACATTCGGACGACGCCACACACGTTAAGCTGTCAGCACTGGCGATACGTAGGTACGTATCATTTCAGCTATCTCCCGTGCTGATTGCTGCTATCTCAATTGGTTCGGCCGGATCATCTGCTCTACCGATTAGCACGGGTTTTCCCGGGCAGCCGGTCCCCGTGGCTATTCGTGGCTCGTGCTGCAGACCCGGTTGTCTCGCAGAGAGCTCGGTTCAAGTTTTGCTGTGTGTCTCTTTCCAGTACAGCCCGACCCTTCTTTTTCGGAAAGTGACGTGAATTGCTTGCAGCAGCTGTCTTCTTTTTTCCTCACGATAGCCGCATCCTCCTCTCCTCCAACGAAACCTGCCCTTCTCGGATTTAACCTCCCCCCTTCTCTGTAATTGGCGCCGCTATTGTTGAGGCTGCGCTCTTTCTCGTAACAAACTACCAAACCAACACACATAACCGCCAAGATGCAGTCCCTGAGACAGATGCGGCCAGCAGGCAAGCTGCTCAACCAGGCCGCGAAGCGCGCATACAGCGTCTCCCAGGCCGGCCCTTATTCCAAGACCATCGACAACCTGCGCATCAACTCTGAGACCAAGGTCCTTTTCCAGGGCTTCACTGGCAAGCAGGGAACGTGAGTGCTGTTATCTTTCCCCCTTCTGACGACAGACGGTTGAACCGAGAACCCCTGTTTCGGGACTGGGCCATCTGGCGATATTTGCTGTCGCAGCCCGCGCAGCCCACATTAAGGGGAGAGAGCTATTTGAGCTAACGTACGCTTTGCCAAACAGCTTCCACGCGCAACAGGCCATCGACTACGGTATGCGATGATCATCACTCCGAGGCGGCTGCGTAGCTAATCGCTGCGCGCTGCCGCCCGCGCACACGCGAAACGTTGGAAAACATCCCCAAGGCTGATATCAATGGGCGTATAGGCACTAAGGTTGTCGGTGGAACGAACCCCAAGAAGGCCGGTCAGGAGCACTTGGGTCTCCCCGTCTTCGCCAACGTCGGCGAGGCTGTCAAGGAGACCGGCGCCGATGCTACCGCCATCTTCGTCCCGTACGTTGTCGCGCAATATCGACCCAATCACTGAGCAGGATGTTGACAGAAAGACACAATAGCCCCCCTCTGGCCGCCGCCGGTATCGAGGAGGCCATCGCCGCCGAGGTCCCTCTCGTTGTCTGCATCACTGAGGGTATTCCCCAGCATGGTAGGCCTTCTGCCCCTCCCCATCGATCATTGCTGTGGGATCCTGTGAACTTCGAGTACTTACCGAAAACTTCCCCCTTTCAGACATGGTCCGCATTACCAACATGCTGAAGACGCAATCCAAGACCCGTCTCGTCGGCCCCAACTGCCCCGGAATCATCGCTCCCGGCCAATGCAAGATCGGTATCATGCCCGGCTTCATCCACAAGCGCGGCCGCATCGGCATCGTCTCCCGCTCCGGCACCCTCACCTACGAGGCCGTCAACCAGACCACCCAGGCCGGCCTCGGCCAGTCCCTCGTCGTCGGTATCGGCGGTGACCCCTTCAGCGGCACCAACTTCATCGACTGCCTCAACGTCTTCCTCAAGGACGAGGAGACGGACGGCATCATCATGATCGGCGAGATTGGTGGTTCCGCCGAGGAGGACGCCGCCGACTTCCTCCGCGCCAACAACACCGTCAACGGTGGCAAGCCCGTCGTCTCCTTCATTGCCGGTATCTCCGCTCCTCCCGGCCGCCGCATGGGTCACGCCGGTGCCATCGTCTCCGGCGGCAAGGGTGGTGCCGACTCCAAGATCTCGGCCCTCAAGTCCGCTGGCGTCATCGTCGAGCCCTCCCCTGCCGGCCTCGGCAAGGCCCTGTACGACGAGTTCGTCCGCCGCGACCTCTTGTAAATCCCCGTCTCTCTCTCTCTCTCTCCCTCCCGGAATACTCCGGCCCCCGCGTGTAATGTGCGCGCATGAAGAGGAGGATTCAGCTGTGTATGTAACATGTTAAACAAAGAAACATCGTGTGTGTGTGTGTTTGTGTGCTGAAAGCGTCGTCGCCGCCGCCGCTGCCGCCGCCGGAGGAAATCCGGGGCCAATATGTTTTCTCGGCATGGGAGGATCAACGAGGCGGTTTTCCACCTTTTTGCATCGTGCGAGTTGCGTTGTGTTGTTTTTGAAACATCTTGGGCCCCAATCAACAGCTTGATATAGACTTGAAAGGGTTTTTTTTTTTTGGGCGCCAGGAGAGGCGTACAGAGGTGGGGGAATCTCTCTTACCTTGAATTGAAAGAAGAGAAAATAAACAGAAATCCACCGTCATTCCCTCCCTCGTAAACGTAAGGCTGTATCTCGGATCCCGCAAGCTTTATAAACGCTTCTGCCGCATGCAAAACCCGCTCGCGCTCCTGCCCCTCATTCGTTGCTCTATGGCGCCATCTCGGCATGTAGGACCCTGCTGTCGTACGATTCCCTATCCACACCCCGAGAAGGAGGAGCAAGGGTTCCCGACCCCGAATACCGAGAGGAAGCGGCCGATGCCGCAGCCCAGAAAATATGGGGATCAGAGGCCGGAAGAAAGGAACGCGGATGCAATGTAGTAGAGTTGCTAGAGAGGACGCAACTGTGCTGCCGCTATGTTTTCAAGTCGATGCTTCTTACTCATCTACGCCCGCCGAAACGGAAGAAGAGGAAGACACAGAGAAAAAGAACGATAATGATAGAAACGCTGTCTGTGTGTATCTTACACTAATCCTGAAATCATAAGTCTTCCACGTTGCCCAAAACGCCGTTGCCGTTGATGCAAGGTTGCCCCAGAGCCCATGAGGCACGAGGCCAAGGCCAGTCGAAATTCCATGACCTTCCAAAGCACCCCCATCCCCCCAACCCATTTCCTATTCCCGCCTAACCCCGGCTGAACCTTCGTTGCGGATAAAGCTGGTACTTTCGCTGGCGGCCAGCCAGGCGTTACGGAGCCGATATCTCCTCAAGCCGACTTCAGACTTCCCACACTATGACGCTGCGGCGAAGCTAGTGGTACTGCATGACAGCCAAAGGAAAAGAACAAAATAAGAGGAAAACAACATAACAAAAAAGATCAGAATCCTCCGTACGCCCCCTTCTAGGTGTAAAAGACCAACTCCTTGTCCAATGCGATGCCGCCTGGTGTCTCATGATTTGTTGTGTTCGTGACTGTCTTCCCGTGGCTCTTTTAGTCGGACCGAATGACGCCAATGACTGGGCCCAAGCAAGCGCCATTCTCGTCGTCAGGTAGCGACACGGTATTGGGTATTTGCGTTACTACTGCTCACCCAGAAGGCGGGCCGTGATATCTCCCATGTAGGCCTCCTCCAGCTCGTAGTCGGCGCCGTTGTTGCGGTCGATACCCACAAAGACAAAGGCGTCCACCACAGCGTCCACCTCGAAGCCCATGTTGACGAAGCGGTCGACGAGCTCCTTGTTGTAGCCCATGTACCTGCGAATCTTGTCAGCCACCGCTTGGTCCCCTTTTGCTCTAGCTCGCCAGCACGCCGTTATGGGTGAAGCATCCAGCGGCAGAAGGCTATTAACGCACCTGCTCTCGTCGTTGGCCTTGGCCTCGGCTGCAGACTCCTTCTTCCACTTGGTGGTGTCGAAATCTCGGGGTGGGGCGCCGGCGTGCTTGACGGCCCACTCGTGGGCTTTCCTCGCAAAGGCCTCGGGGTTTTCGATCATCATCTTGGCCACCTCAGCGTCCTGTGGGTCTTTGGGGTTCGGGAACTCGAGCAGCATGCGGAGGGAGAGGAGGGCGGTCTTGATGGTCTGGACGGGAGACCAACCGCTGCCCAGCGTGTCGAGGCAGATGGCACCCTGTCTCGTGTCAGTTTCGAGAATGTCTTGGAGTGAAAGGAGAAGTGCAAGAACAGATGGCCAGCGAAGGGTGGGGAGCAGCTGCTGCTATGTGGGAGAGAGAGAAAGACGTACGGTTTGACTGCTGACATTGGGATGCCAGATCTTGGTGTCGAACTTGATGATGGGAGACTTGAAAGGGTAGTTATCTGGAATCTTGATGTCGACTTCGTACTGGCCTCCGGCATACGGGGTGTCTGGAGGAGCGGGGAACGATCCCTTGAGGTGTAGGAGGTTGGACTCGTCGATCGGGTAGGCAAAGACACCAGATTTGTCCTTGTCTGCGCGGATATCCATGAGTTCCTTACCGATGCGTCTCTCCTTGGGGCTCGCCATCGTGCCGTTACTTCTCGGGGAGTTCGTTGGGCCTGTACGAGTACTGTAAAGCGGGGTGGTTGGTTATGAAGCGTGAGGTTCGTGCGAGTGTTTGCCTATGTCTTTTGACCCGAATCGTTTTCTGGGTGTCTGGCGAGAAAGCGAGTTTGTCGATGTGTCCGTTGGGCAAAAGGTAAAATGCTGGGCAAAGTTGCGTGGGCGAGGGGCGATCCGGATTGGGAGCTGAAAGGTGCTGGCCTCAAAGGTACCGACAGAGAATGATGGATGAGGGAAGCCCATTCCCCTCAGAAAGGCAAAAAGATGATGCTGGAATGTCCGTGCAAGCCGCTAATTTAGCGCCGCTGGATTGTCAGGGCCGCTGGAAGGAGACAGACACAGGGGGTTTCATTGGCCTGCCCACGGTGGGGCAAGGGCGCCAGCGCGGGGGGGTTGCGACGGCGGGAAAAAGTGACGGACGGGGGGGGAATGTCATCGGGGCATATCAAAGCCAACCTCAGGATAGATACTTGATCCAAGACATCAAAGCAGATGTACTATACTCTCGGAGACTCACAGTAATTGGACAAAGTAGGCTACCTAGCTTGCGTTGGCATCAGTTTGCTTTCCTTAGTCGAGTCGTGTACGTCCGTGTAAGTGAGAAACATCGGCTAGGCCGAGAGTCATGGCGTATTCTCAGAATCAAATCCACCACTGATGGATCACTTCGTAACTTTTAGTTCTTTCCTTCTTCCAGAACGTAGGCGTTGTTGCCTTGCATGTTTGAGCTGCAGTACCAGTTTGTCAGGCGGTACTGCTAGTGTTGGAAGGATGAAAAGGTTGGCCAGTCGTGCTTTGCATTTGGTTGTGCTCAACTACCTGCTTTTGTACCAACAGTGTAGCACGCATGATGTCTTGTTAGTTTCAAGATTATGTCCAGATGACGGTCAAAATTTCGCTGAATACAACAGTTCGATGGGTTAGACTAGTCAAGATACTGTTGAGCTGCGTAGCAGCTATAATAAATCCTGGTTTCCTGGGTTTAGAGTTAGGTTTGTCCACGGTTGCTGCTCCATATTGTTGATGACTTGATATTCTTATCCTTTCTAGGACCGTCCTTCTTTTGGCCCCCCTTTATTTACTCATGACTTCGTCTGCATCGCTATACTGGCCTACAAGAGCCAACCGAAGTCTTCCAAATCATAAATGTAGAGTAATGTTGTTCCCGCGGTCGAATGAATTGGAATTAGGACAATGAGCTGCAACAAATTCCAGCGAGCACATACAAACTGGTTTCCAGTTCAATTTGCATACTATTCGCAGTGCGGGAACAACACAATACTGGATGAATGATACATATAAACCTTTAAGTGGTCAGAAGTATTATTCACTTTGACTTGAGCTATGACAATACTCGAAATGGTTATATATGTGGTAGTTTTGGGGTCACCGTATTAAAAAATACAGTCGATAATTCGTCCTTATCAATCAGCTCTTTGAGAGCTTTTGAAACGGACAATAACTGAGGGAACAATACTTTATCGATAACTATCCCAGAGCGTGAGGTCTGCCGGTGTTGTATAAACAAGATCATCTGCTCGTTGAGTTTTCGACTTGAGGAACGCTAACTTCAGCGGCTGATGCAAGCCGGGTTTCTCAGATAATGGAATTACAGTCCAAACATTGCGTTGTATTGTTGGAATATATGTATATTGGTCGAATACCCTTGTTCCTGAATAAGGATGCCCTATATTTGACTCAGTTCCCATGGCCACAAACATGAAAAGGTAGCCAATCTTCGGTTTCTTAACAATCCCTTGTATTAAGTGTAGTTTTTGCCTTCTCCAAGTAATCTTACGCGTTCTAGGGAACCAGATAGTCTGGCCAAGGAGAACCTCTTGCCGAATAAATGTAGCCTGTGCCTTCCATCGTTATCTAGTTCCCAGTCGAAGTAGAAGGATATGCTGACTCAGCAACACTCATTGAGCTTCAAGGTTCACGTGATAGGTACTCACCCATCTTATCTAATCCGGCCTAGCCCTGGCGAGCGTCGCGTTTCTCTGCCGCCTGCAGCAGCATTTGGGTGCCCTGTGCTGAGGTGCCGCCACTATGCTACCTGTGATTACCTACGCAAGCAGTAGCAGCCTTGCCTTGCTCCCCTGCGCTTCCACCTCCATCCTCGGAATCCACCTGCCCTCATCATCATCTCAAGCACATCAACGAAACCTTGACAGCTTATCGGATCAGAGGTCTACCTGTTTCTTCCACCATAAACACATAGACGCCATTTACACAGTATTATTGAGCTCCAGGAGCTCCCCGTGGCAAGATGGTACGCAATACTGTCCGGAACATCGTGGCCTTGATCTAACAGCTACGCAGGGTCAAAACCAGTCAGGAATGGGTGGCGGAGGCGATGGAAAAGACGACAAGGATAAGAAGGTACTTCATATCGAAGGAAACGGAAAATCCCAGGTGTTCATGAGCTGATTGGCGATGCAGAAGGAGAAGCCCAAGTACGAGCCTCCTCCACGCCCTACCACCAGAGTCGGCCGCAAGAAGAGAAAGGCGGCCGGTACCAGCGCCGCCGCGAAGCTCCCCGCCGTCTTCCCTACCAGCCGATGCAAACTCCGCCTCCTACGAATGCAGCGAATCCACGACCACTTGATTCTCGAGGAGGAATACGTCGAAAACCAGGAGCGTCTTCGCCGGGCCAAGGCCGCCAAGGAGGGTGCCGCCATCGGACCCGAGGGCGATGTCGACCGCATGGCCGACGAGCGCGGTCGTGTCGACGATATGCGTGGCAGCCCTATGGGTGTCGGCACGTTGGAGGAGATGATTGACGATGATCACGCCATCGTTAGTAGCACAACGGGCCCCGAGTACTACGTCAGCATCATGAGCTTCGTCGACAAGGACCTATTGGAGCCCGGCGCCAGCGTCCTTCTGCACCACAAAAGCGTCAGCATTGTCGGTGTTCTCACCGACGACGCCGACCCGCTCGTTAGTGTGATGAAGCTCGACAAGGCGCCGACCGAGTCATACGCCGATATTGGTGGTTTGGAGCAGCAGATCCAGGAGGTCAGAGAGTCGGTCGAGCTGCCTCTGCTGCATCCCGAGCTGTACGAAGAGATGGGTATCAAGCCGCCCAAGGGTGTCATTCTTTACGGTGCTCCCGGTACAGGAAAGACGTTGCTTGCCAAGGCCGTCGCCAACCAAACCTCGGCCACGTTCCTGCGTATCGTGGGAAGTGAGCTGATTCAGAAGTATCTTGGTGACGGTCCTCGCCTCGTCCGTCAGCTGTTCCAGGTATGTTTGTAGCCTTGCTATTCTAGGTCACCACTGACAATCCCAGGTCGCCGGCGAGAACGCCCCCTCGATCGTTTTCATCGACGAAATCGATGCCATCGGCACGAAGCGTTACGACTCGACCTCGGGCGGTGAGCGTGAAGTCCAGCGAACCATGTTGGAGCTTCTCAACCAGCTCGACGGTTTCGATGACCGTGGTGACGTAAAGGTCATCATGGCCACCAACAAGATCGAAACGCTCGACCCCGCCCTGATCCGTCCCGGCCGTATCGACCGAAAGATCCTCTTCGAGAACCCCGACCAAAACACCAAGCGCAAGATCTTCACCCTCCACACGTCCAAGATGTCGCTCAACGACGACGTGGACCTGGAGGAGTTCATCTCGCAGAAGGATGATCTCTCCGGTGCGGACATCAAGGCCATCTGCTCCGAGGCCGGTCTGCTTGCCCTCCGTGAGCGCCGCATGCGTGTACAGATGGCCGACTTCCGGTCCGCCAGAGAGAGGGTCCTACGCACCAAGCAGGAGAGTGAGCCTGAGGGCTTGTACTTGTAGTTAAGTGTATGACGACCTTACGGGGGGCTAGGGCTAGACGGGGCAACGATAGATAATGGCAAGACAAGCTTTGACGTTGACTTGGCATTGATTAACGACATTCACCTGGGTCGGCTGCGCATGCTTCTGTGAGTGAATGTGATTACTGTACGAGACAGGCTAATGATGACGGGTCCAAGAGTTTGTTGCCAGGGTCAGGGTTGCCTAGTTCAGGGTCCAGCCAGGACGTGCTTGAGATTAGCGATGATTGCAACTATATTAAGCATCGAGAGAGACGTACCGACTCTACTTGGGATGCGGACCGATGTCAGGCGCATGACAGCCTCCCAACAGTCCCCGCGCCGGTGGCGATGGGAAAATGCTTCTTAGTCAGACCCCCTGGCCCCCCCCGCACCTGGGGATGAAGGATGCCGCTGTTCTCTGAGACGAGTAGGTAGGTACTAGCTCGCAGGGAGGCGTCGTGACAATCTTTGCAAGACGCAGCAGCATATCTTGCTTGTCTAGATGAACCTTCCTGTCATGGGAAACTGGCCACCGCTCAGACTCGGCTGGATCCGGAAGGGGGAGCAGGGGTTCACAAGGAGATCCCTGGCCGAGGAGGCGAAGTTTCCGAAGCTTAGTTGCTGGTGGGAGGGGGCAGCTCCCCGCACTCAGACTGGACTTCGTGGCTTGGATATTGTTTGGAGTGATGAGATGAAATTAATTACATTTTCGTGGTGGGTGGTTGGGAGAGAGGGGGGAAGGAGGAGGGGACTAGTTGGACAACCTGTCTGTCAAGCGGCTTTCATACTTGGAACTCTCTGTCCGTTGCGCAGAACTGCAGGCGTTCGTTTCACTCAGCTCGTCCGGCGAAGCCTCTCCTTGTCTTGCACAACGGGCGTCCCGCCATTCTTGCTCCCGCTCGTGACGCCCTCCTCGCCGCCGCAATTCGACCGGAACGGCGGGGCGACACGAGGTGTGTACGCCGGCGCAGGCTCCTCCTCGTCCTCCTCCTCCGGCGGCGGGGTCAGGTTCCCGGGCGGCCCCATCAAGGCCAGCTCCCTCGCGATGTCCGGGTCCATCGCGTAGCGCCCCTCGAGCGCGACCAGCGCCTGCCACAGCGGCAGCGACCCCTCGGGCCACTCGGCCTGGGTCTGCAAGATCCTGCGCGCCGAGATGCGGCGGTCGCCGTACGCCACGGCGTTGCAGTCGTGGCGCGCAAGGATGATGGTGCCGTCGACCTGCACGCCGGCCCAGAGGCCGCGGGACTTCATGTAGCTGTACATGGGCCGCGAGGTCCTCGACGCGGCGGCCTCGACGGCGGCGCCCGTTCCGACGGGGCCGATGGCGACCGAGGTCTCTGCGCCGAGCGAGAGGCGCGGGTGCGCGAAGGCGGCGACCTGGGCGGCGGTGTTGAGGACGAGAACGCACTCGTAGATGTCGAGGCCGAACATGAGGCCGGCGCCGAGCGTGGAGACGACAAAGGTCGAGGGCGGGGACCAGGTGCCGTCCGGGCGGCGGGCGACGACAAGGCCGGAGCCGGCAGCGAGAGAGCCCATGTAGGCGCCCGCGCGGAGGGTGTTGAAGATGGCGAGGCCGGCGCAGTGGGCGAGGACCTGGTGGGGGATGGCGACGAGGGCGCGGCGGGTGACGCCGAAGGGGTGGAAGGGCTCGTCGCCGCCCAGGGCGGTGCCGGCCGGGTCCGTGGAGCCGCCGCCGAGGGGCTCGTCGGTGAAGGACTTGAGGATCCGGGCGGCCTTGGCGCACTCGCGGGGCATGGTCTGCGGGAACCACCCCTCGGCGCCGAAGAGGTTGGCGGCCCTGTTGAAGGGGACCCCGGCGGCGGTGGTGATCTTGTGGACGTGGACGCCGATGCCGCGGCCGGGCGGTTTGGCGACGGGGGGTGCGTTGGGGTCGGCCGGCCTGAGGCGCAGTGTGGAGAGTGTGCGGGAGAGGGAGAGGCGCCGGGAGGACGAGGAAGAAGACGACGTGTCTGGGGACGAGTGGACGGACTGGGACTCGGCTTCCCCGGCCGCGGCGGGCTGGCGTTTGTGCCGGAAGGTCATGACGACTCGTTTGGAAGGGGGCGGGGGCAAGTGTGTTTGGGTCCGATACGTGTTTTGCTGAAGTCTGGTACAAAGCGGTTGACGGTGCTGGAATACGGGCAACCAAAGGGGGGTATCGTTTCCGAGCTTTGACTTGATAGCTCTGTCGGGCTGGAGGAGAGGGCGAGATGGGCTCTTGGCCAGAGGCAGAGCTCGCGACGCATGATATATAACACCTTTTGAGTCCAAGCACATCTCTCTGCTGAGAGGCGGGCAACCAAGGATCTACCCAAGCCAGACACCCCCCCGTTGAAGACTAGGATGGCGTCGCGGTTGCAAAATGCGGGAGGAGGCCACGGAAGTCTCGCCCGGCGAGGGTTGTCCAAGTTGGCGAACTCAAAACGGCCGCGACATGAGATTGGTACGCCAATGAGGCTTCTTCCGAGAGCTGAAAAGAATTTTGGGAGGCCGAAGGGCGAGTTTTTCCAGCAAAGGCGAGATCCCGCACGAAGACGATGCTGAGAAGCATCAATCATCCCATGTTGGTGACAAGCGAAAGCTTGTGCATGTCCTTTGGTTTCATGTCGTGTCCTACCCTGATGGGGAAAAGCAAATGACCATAGGACTCGAGATGGGGGGGAGGGGATGGGAATCGTAGCTGTTTGCCGTCCCAATAGGAGAGGGGAAAAGGGACCGACCGACGGATCAGGGGGGGAGGGGGAGGAGGTCGTCAAGTCTCGCGTGGCGCAGTCTGTCGTGAAGAGAAAAACAAAAGGGGGTTCGAAGGTGCAGAGAGTTTGAGTTCTGTTGAAATACGCGTAAGTGCAGTCGCGGTCTTTTGTTGATGTATCGAGGGGTCTGCCCCTTTCCCGACGGGGAGAGGAGTCTCAGAGCTGGGGAGGGAGCTCCCGTTTTTGACTTTTTCGTCCGGCAGTTGATAATGCGCGAGACGGTGTGGTGTGGGAGTGAGTGGCGGAAGGCCGAAAGCATGGTGCAACATGGGGGGCTTGTTTTTGTGTGTTTTTAATGAATAATCATGTGTGAGAACCGGCGTTGGCCGTGGTGTTTATTCAACGCTTCCAGGATCAGTCAAGGTCAAGTAACGACAATGGGATTCGCCCGGGGTCGGTTGTGGAATCACCGTAAAGCGCGCGTGCCGTTGGCCTTTCTCGGTGTATCGATGTCGTTGTGGGTGAGCATCGATCGCTTGGTCTCCGGTTGCGTTATCTTGGGTAAACGGAGATGACAACGTCCCAGGTAATCTTTCAGTGGAAAGGGAGAGGAGAGGGGAGGGCGAGGCTGGAGCTCTTCTTTATCGAGACCTCGGCAGTGAGGGGGTGAAATCAGACTACACCAAGCATTTCGATGGACGACGGTTGTACTTTGAGAAACCACGAGCGTCAGATACTGCACGTGTTAGTTAGCCAACTGGTCCAGACACTGCTGGGACTGACAACCGAGTCAACAACAGTAGCTCACACCATGAATATGGTTCATCGAGTAAGTTGCATCGCGTCGGGATTCTGGTCCTGTTCAAGTCATGGTTTGGTCGTTGCTCCAATCGCCAGTATCTAACGTGATGGAGTTGAAAAGGGCATGGTTTCCTGAGAGCATCTACCTACCTACTAGGTAGCACTTGAAGACAAGAAGACTCTACTGCCCAAGCCACACCCAAAGCTCACAGCCCATAGCCACTAACCCTACCTACCGGTACAGTGTACTTCAGACTAGTGTATGTGGCTGATGTGGCGAAGCTGCTGAAACAGGGTTAGAGACCCGCACTCCACTCATACACCAACTGGCCCGTCGCAATTGGGCACAAGTACGGATATCAGTCGTTCCACACCGTCATGCTACCTTTCATATTACTCACTATGTAACCCTCCTTCAACACAGTCTCTATGGCTCAGTCGGTAGAGCGTTGGTCTCATATTCCAATCAATATGACCCTGCCTCCAGGTCGGGATATCCAAAGGTCGCAAGTTCGAGCCTTGCTAGGGACACACTATTTTGCTCTCATGGCCGTCTGTCTGTCTGTCTGTCTTTGTTTTTTTCTTTTTCTTTCTCCATTTCCCCCCTCACTGCCTTATATCTAAAACCACCGAACCTTGCAATCCCGTCCTTGTGCATGCATCCCCATCCATATATACCCACCTATTTTATCTGCCTCATTGTTCCATTGCTCCCACGTCGAGGTGAACTCCGTCAGGCGAAATCGCCAAGGCGAACCAAAAAAAGACATCGTGCCAAGAAGTACAAGTCAGATACACAAAAAAGCAAAAAAAAAAAAAAAAAAAAACCAAAGAAGAAGAAGAACAAGAAAAATTAAGACAAGTTACATTGTGGGGGTACATGCAATGGCAGGCTGCTCTTATTTTTATGCTGGTGTTCCTGGAATGCCTTCATAGTCTTTAGTGGTCTTGAATCCATATCCCCCGGCTTTCTGTGAATTTTTGGACACAGCGCTCGCTTGCTGAGGCAAGGGATCCAACGCTATCCTGCACACTAGGTACTGACTGTGATCCCTAGCGTGGCTGTTGATACGATACATCGGTTATAAGTGCCATGGTTCCAACAAAGATTGTTTTCGACACCTCCATGGAGCGACGCAAGACGCGTAGATGAGTTCGACCAGGACCTCCGGGGTATCATGCGACTGGGAAACGATGTTGTTACTGATGTTTGCTTCTCTCGGGCAACGGACCCAACAGAATATTTGTGATCGCCGGGGTGGCCGATGGGCTTTTTTTTCTGTAAGCCACAGGCCGGCACACCTCTCGGAAACGCAGTACTGTTGCCTGCATCTTGAGCCGGTTCAAGAATAAAATTAAATAAAAAAACGAAACGCTGTCATGGTTCACGAAGGCGGTTCCCTTGATTTATAAAGAAAGTCCAGGTTAAAGTTGACGGCGGGGAGCTGCGGCCTTGGGAGGGCCTCGACCGGCACGGGCTTGAACGGTGCCACTCTTCGGATGTCAGTGCCATCACGAATACACCCCAACGGCCACTGGATCCATTCCCTCCACGGCTCCTGGATGGCCTTCTCCAAGCTCGAAGCAACGTTGCTGCCCCAACCGCAAAGATACCAAATGTTCCGCTCAAGAGCATGGACCAGCGCTGCGTAGTACATGAGGATGATGAGGGCCATCGGGTGGTTCTGGCTGATGAGCTCGAGAAATGACTGGGGAAGGGAGACAGCCCACCGCCAGACCAGCCCGGACCTATGCTGAGGCATGGAGACGGCCGTGAAAGTGATCTTGAGACCCTCGAGAGCGGACTGGCAGGTCGTAGTATCTTCCGAGGGTGCCATGCCGCGTGTGAGGTTGAGAAGGTCGTCAATCTTGGCCGAGAAATTCCCCGCTACGGCGGGCTCGACACTGCCTTGGTAAAGCCAGCGTGCCAGTGGCCCATTGGATATATGTTTGTGAGCGAATGGCAGAGCAAGTATGCTCTGGATTCCTGAAGGGGGAGGAGGGCAACGTTAGTGAGCGACGGGGTTTATAGAAGCAGCGACTTACCTTGCAGCAGAATGAAGGACTGAGCAACGTCCCTGGGGATGATGGAGCCGCTCGGGTTGGCGATGGAATAGGTGTTGAGAATGAAGATGCATATAGCGTGTAGCACGTATGCGTCGGCGTTCTTCTCGTCGATCTCGGCCAAGCCTGGCGAGAACTTGCTGAGGGCGATATTTTGATGGCGGGCCGATATAGTGGCGTACTCGGCCCTCTTTTCAGGGTCACAGTGGGCGACATGGATGGCTGATACGGCCAAGATGCCGTGGAGAAGGAAGTCCTAGATGAGTCAGCCGAGAGAAGCCACGACCGGCGGCGAAGAGGGGGGCTGGCCTAACGTTGGCAAAGGCGATTTGAGGCACTGTTGTCGTCCAGAGATGCACAAACTCTGGGTTCTCGGAGATGGTATGTGCCGTATTGGAGGTAAAGTGGTGAACGAGTTGCATATCGATCATCCAGTCGGACCTCGAGACGCCCTGAGCATCACGGGACTCCCCTTGGGTGGCAGTAGACTCATGGGCTGGTTCGGAGAGGCTGTGCCGTTCAGTATGATGAAGAGCATCCACCTCGGCCGAGAATTCAAAGAGCAAGCCCTGGATGGCAGCTACCTTTTCCTTCAACGAGGAGAGCTGGGGTGGAGAGGTCTCGGGGCGGCTTTCGGGGCGGCTGGTCGTCGAAGCCTCACCAACACTATCAGGAGTCGCCGTGTTGGCGGCCTCGAGAGTCGACTTGGGCGACGACTCGCCGACGGGCGGCAGATGAGCTGAAAAAGGCGTCAGAAGCAGGCTGCACTGGACGTCGTGCCGCGCGCAGTTGCGACAAGGGCGACTCTCATCGCACTGGGTGTATGGTCAGTGACATGCTCTGTGTGTACTCCAACGTCTGTTTGGCCGACCTAGCAGTCGGCCGCTGAGCTCCCAGCCCGGGCCAGGGCTCGATGATGGATGTACCAAGCCCAAAGGCAACTAACTCACCTTGACGCGACGCTTCTTGCACTGCTGACATCCATTCCGCGACTTCTTGTGGCCTATACGAGTGCCGCGCACAGCGGGCGAGGCGGCCTTGGGCCGATGCTTGCTGCTCTCCAGAGCCGCCACCTCATCCTTGAGCGAAGTCTTCTCTGGCGTGCCGTTCATCGCATCGAGGTGACTAGGTAGGTAGGTACACTACAGTGGCTGTCACTTGGAGGAGCAAAGCGGAGTGGAAAGTTGTGTCCTAGTGGCGTAACGGATCGAACGAGCCCGAGATGCTAGCTCCTCAAACGCCTTATTTGATGCCCAAATCTCATACTGCCATATCTTGTTTTGTTTTCTGCACGTGAATATGGCAAGGCCAACACCAAACGTTGCACGCCGCACGGGACTTGTTCGCGCCGCACCGATTGTGGTCTCGGTCGACACCAACCCAGAGAGACCCACGCACCTCACCTGCAGCAGGAGAGGCAGTACACTCGCTGTATGACACAAGCCGGGGTGACCGGGGCGGACCGGATGCCGATTGGTGAATTCGGCTCAGTCGATATGGGGTGGATTTGGAAGAAGGGACGAGGATTACCTATCTGTACACTAGAGTGCAGTGTAAAAGGTGTCAGCCAGGGAGGGGAGATTGGCACGATTTCAATTACTGATCAGCCCAGTGTCTCCACGTGACGTTGGCATTGAATTCCTGAAAAGGCGACGGACGGGTCTACAGCGGGTAGGAACGTCGTTTCTCGGTTTGGTCCTCGGACTGGCGCACGGATCGCGTATCGACTTCACCCCGATCGTGCCGTGCAGCGATCCGTGCTTTTCTTGTCTAGTGTAAGGTTTTACCCAAGGTAGTAGGTACGTATCGATGAGGGATGGCTGGTGCTCTGATATTTGTGGCTTCAATTCGCCACACGCCACATGTCCCTACCATCTGGGCAGGAAGCTAGGCACCTACCGGTAGTTAGAGGTACGGATACAGACAGATGTAGGTATGTGCATGCAAGTACGTACTGCCTATCCGTACCTCGGTTCGAAAGCCCGCAGTACGTACCTACAAGGTCGGTAGGTAGGTAATCAAGCTGAACGCAGGCACATCAGGCTAAATTACGACTTGCATGACGCGCTCTCCTGCGGAGCGCGGCTTCCCACTTCCTGGGCTGAAAGGGACCTACCTGGGAAGGAAGGAACCTGGGGGGGGAAACCTAGGAATGGGCAGGGGGAAAGCGCGAAGGGTCTCTCTTCAGAAGATGAAGGTGCACCTCCAAGCTCTCCGGTCCCTTTTTTGACCGTGTTTTCTCCTTTCCTTTTCCAGCCAATGATGAGCGTCAAACGTCAGCATCAGAAGCCAACAACAAACAGCACCACAACAAACAGCACCAAGCCCGCTCGTGCATTCCCCATCACTCGCTCGTCACCAGTCTGCCGCTCCCCGCTTGCTGTACCTACCCATCTACCTACCGGTAGTGTAGGTACCGACCGGTAGTGGCCCCTCTGCCCCTCCTTCAACCTCCTTCGATCTGATCTCCCTTGGTCGTGCGACCCGTCACTGGAAGGTATGGTGACATCCCTTGGATTCGAAGTGGCGTCCATCTGATTAAAGACGAGATTCCCCGGCCACGACGTATTGAGTCCCGCTCCCCCCTTGTTCCGTATCCCCCTTCTCCACAATATCCCTGCCGCGCACACCAAGATCCTCCATCCATCGTCAGCATCAACAATCCCGTCCCTTATTATACCTAATCCCAACATGGCTTCGCACAACACCAACTACAATGATATCAAGGCCTCGGCCAAGGAGAACGCTGCCGGCGTCTACGCCTATAGCCAGCGCCAGATGGACCGTGTCGTCAGCCAAGATACCCGCCAGAAAGCCTACGACAGTGCCTGCAATCTCGCCCAGGAGCAGCCCTTTCTCTTCGTACGTCCGACCTCCGATTGACGCCCCTCCCTTGGGACTCTGGGCGTTGCTAACGTGCGTGCTGTTACAGGCTTTCCTTCTCGTCCAGCTCATCTTCTCCTTCCTGCCTACCCTCGTCTTCGTCTCCTTCGCTTTTTCGACTGTCGCCTTTGCCTTCGGCGTTGCTGTCGTCTTCTCCCTTTTCTGGATCGGTGTTGCTCTTCTCGTCCTCGTACCGACCCTCTTCTTTACCTGCTCCATCGCCGTCCTCGTCTGGGTCTGGGCTGCCGGCAGCTTCATAGTGGCGAAGCGCTTATACGAGATTTCGCCCATCCGTGCCACGGGCGACCTGGAGGTGCACGTGCCCAACGGGAAGACGTACGCCGTCATCAAGCACGAGGACGGCGTTGATGCCCACTCGCACAACTAAATTGGGTTATCGTCCATGATATACATATGTTCGGCCTTATGGCAGTTAAGGGTATGGTATGGGATGGCGTCGGATTTGGCAGGATACCCGGAATATGCTCTATTAAAATGAATTGCTGGGCGCAGCAAAGGCTTACAAGTGACGCCGGTGTTGCTGCGATGCCCATTCAGTATTTCTCAATCCAATTATTGTTTCGATGTTACCTGCAATGGCGTATATGGAGACGCTTTCGTCCTGCCAAACAGCCTATGTAGACTATTTTGGCCCAGCAGAAACCCCTTCGGTCAAAAGCTGGATGCCATCACACAAACCTATGCTGTTTCTTCACTCAAACTCATGGCAGAGCTGTTGATCTGATGTTCCCGATCAAAATCGAACCACCAGATAATGAGACGTAAGGGAGACACCATGGTGATGCGGTGCTGGTAACAAAAGCATAATGGTATTTCGGCGCAAAAGGAGCAGTCTCCGTTGTCATTACCAACACGCCTACTGATGCAATGGGACAATTGCTTGGATCCGAATTCTGAATCAAATGACCCAAAAACACCGTCGTTCCCAGCCTGGCTTCCTTTGTTTCCTGTGTCCAATATCGGTGTTGTGAAATCTGCCCCTGTGGCCCAATGACCCTCACCACAGAACCGGTCTCGGGTCCGCCACTTCAAGCACCTTGATGCCGGCTTCCTTCAGAATGGTGACGGCGTCCTTGGCGACTGCCGGCTCAACTGCAAGCTGCTTCAGGCCGCCGGCCCCGGCCAAGTATGGCATTTCGATGGCAAGCCCATGCGCCGGACCTGACAGGTGGAGTTTGTTCAGGGAGCCGGGAAGGGTCCTCAAGAAGTGGCTGACTTTGTTTGCCCGCGCGACAGCAACCTCGCCACCAGCACCGGGAATGTCGCTTGCTTCTTGCGCGAGTGTGTGCATGTTGGCGAGGACGGTCTTGCTGTCGATCCAGATTCGTTGCAAGTGCTTGAAGTTGCTGACGGAGAAGAGGGCCCGCTGCCCTCCGCTTTGCGCCACGCTGACTTGGCCGAGGTCGAGGCAGAGGGTTCGCAGAGTGTCGGCGCTGTGCCCGAGCGCGTCAGCGATGTCGTGGGCCTCGGGCAGCTGTCTACCTTGGCGTGCTCCGCAGTCCGCCTCCGACTGCGCAAAGTACATGAATGTCCCCAGGCGTTTGCACCCTTTTAGCAATAGGCGAAAGCTGGGGACGTCGAGGGCGACGCTCCGGAGGATGATGGAGCTGATGTTCTCGACGCCGGTGACGGGCTGTGCCAATCTGAACTCGAACCTGTCGAGACGCAATCCGGTCAGCTGTGGGCTCGTGGCCAAGAAGCCGGAGACGACGGAGGGCTTGAGGACGAGAGACTGGTTTCCGTATGCTGAACGAACGCCCGCTAAGGTCAGGGACTCTATTTTTGGGAAGAACGGCTCGCCGCGCGGTAGCCTCTCCGCCATCGCGGCCAGGACCTCGGGCCCGGTGGCGATCGTGCACTCCTGGAGCTCCTTGAGCCGGCTGGTCGAGAGTAAGGCGAGGAAGGCCAGGACTTCCGGTATGGCAGGCCAGAGTTGCAAGCACGCGGTAGGGTACGCAGTCTTGTCCTGCACCTCGCGCATCCGCTTGCGCAGGATCTCCGGCACGGCCACGCCAGGGGTCGCGCAGGCCGCCTGCATAAGGAGCGGGATGTGCGGGTCGATCCGCTCGGCATAGCAGCGGACCGTGTCCAGGCCAAGATACAGGCGCCTGACGGACTGCGCGCGCTTGGGCCGCTCGCCGAGCCGGCGGAGGAGCCCGACGAGCTGCTCGGCGGCGTCGAGCCTGGGGACGACGAGGTCGGCCTGCGCGCAGCAGAAGAGGGCGACCTTTCGCTGCATCGTCCTGCAGGTGAGTGCGAGGGAGCGGAGGTGGCCGATCTTGACGCGCTGCGTCAGGGCGATGAGGTGGTCGTGGGTCAAGTAGTCGAGCTGGTGCTGCCATGAGCGGATGTCGTGGACGAGGCTGGAGACGATCTCGAAGAAGAGTTCGATAGGGAGGGAGACGAGGGGCACCGTCTCGTTGGGAGTTGTCTCGTGGGGCTCCAGGCTGACGAGTCCCATCTGGCTCGTTGCCGCCTCCACTGCCGTATCATCCATCTTGATTTTGGCTTGTTAACGTCACGATGGCTACGTAGGAGATGGGTAGCCGGGTGAGGTTCTGGATGATGGGTAAGCGTTTTCCAAGATCCGAGGTTGTCTAGATGTGGAGAGAGAGGACTTATTCTCATCAATCTTCTTCAATCTGTGATGTAAGAGGCCGGTAACGATCTGAAAGGGAAGGCGGCCGCCACCCATCCATGGCAGGCAAGCATGAGCCGCGCGGTCGGCTACTTGCCAACCTTCGATTAGAAATGAAAGGCGTGTTTGCCAGGAGGCGTTGGAATCTCCAGCCTGCAACTTCATCCTGCCCAACTTTCGCGGTGGGTTCGACAGAGCCGTCATCACCAGTACGTCAAGCCACAACCCAGCAGTGACTCTGCTGTCGCCAATATGCTCGTACCCAAAGGTTGTTCGCGTATGTACCTAGGTCAAGGTTGAGGTGAGGTCAAATTTAGCATTCGCTCAGTCTAGGATATGTATCATTAAGGGTGTCTCGTTTCAAACACCTTGGCCGTCTAACAGAGCAAGTAGTTAGCTGGCACACAGTTCTTGAAAGTTATGGCTTACGCCCAGTACCTAGATGCCACCTATTCGTAGTACGCCGTCTAACCATGGTATTTGACACTAAATGGAGTCATATTAAGCACACAGACTTAAGTGGGAACTTAAGCTCCAAGCGCCTGGTCCTCTTTCAAGGGGCGAACATCAAAGCCTAAAAAAGAGTCAGCTGAGATATCTACTTAGCCAAATAAAACAGAGAGAGTTTAAGTTCATTGAAGCATAAGCCAAATAAAGATATAAACAATTCTTTTTACCTCTCAAGCCCTCAGGATCAATTACCTTACAAACAAGAAAAGATGCCATCCATCCATGAGTACAAAATTAAACAGAGGGGTTTGGGAGATTGATGATGGATGCGGCAAAATAAAAATCAATGCCAACACTGTGGATCGAACACAGGATCCCCGCATTACAAGTGCGATGCCTTACCACTTGGCCATGCTGGCGAATTGGATGTCAATTCGACTCATAACTGTAAATATGTATGCGAGAATTAGACATCATGCATTGTGTCTCTACGATTTCTCTTTGCTAAACAACGCATTTAAGTATATCTTGTTTCGAGAATACAGAGGCATATGTTAGAATTATTTGGACTTGGGTTCTACCTGTTGCTGGTGCAATCTAGCACAGACACAGACGTATGCCCATGGCCAACGAATCATGCATTGGGAAGATTCATAAAAGTCCATGGAGTGGCGTAGATCATTTGCCATCTCTGATCAAGCAACGATTCTCGTTGACATTTTGCTCCCCTACGCCGTCCTTTCAGGTAACTACCAACGCGGGACACCATTCTACTTCTATTAGCTTCGTATAAGTACAACATTGAAACATTCATCGCCAGCCTCGAGCATGAGCGAAACCGCCGAGCTGCTAGATCAACAATCGCTTTTTCGAGCGACCAAGCTGACCCGGTGGCATTGCCTCTCGTACTGCTTTATCGGTACTTGAGTTGAGCCAACTGGCCAGCATCAGGACTATTCTGACTCATTTCGAGCCAAATTTCCAATCGAATACGACATTGCAGAGGTCAACAAGCAGCCAAGCTGTTGGTTGGCAAGTGATCAATTAAACAGGGCGCGGCATTTCTGTCGACGACACATTTGCCAACCCTCTGTAATGATACTGCTGTACTCCACTGAGCAGTGAATCCCACTTGCAATGACATATGCTTATCCGCGCTGGGGAGAGTGGTGTGGGGATACCTTGATGCTTGTCTTGCCCCTGATTCTTGCAGGGTTGCAATAAAAACACCAGGATCCGGTTCGAGTCCCGATCCGTTGCCAATTCAAAGAAACCCAACGTACGGACTATTGCTATGAAATTTGTGGCTTGTTTTCGCCATGTTCCGACGTGTTAGTATCCTTCAATATTTCTTCGGTACGATATTGCTAACCAACAAACTAGTATAACAACTATAAAAGAATGCGCAGCCAAAATATCAAGATTTCTGGAGACACAAGCATAGACGAGTCCCTTCTCCAGATTTGAAGTTATTTAATCCTCAACCCCCCAGCTCCATAGAGCGGTTCCTCGGCGCCCCGCGGTCATGCGCTCACCGCCTGGCGAAGCGATATAGGATCCAACAGCTCAGTTGGCAGATTGCCCCTTGGGCGCCGGGATATTACTTTCCACTTTAAGCGACATGCCCTCTTAAATGACTCTTCTCAATAAAACAGTACTTATTATAGATAGCATTCTCTTAAATCCCTTAGACCCTGCTGGCGTCTGTTTTGAAGCGTTAAGCTTTGCCTAAACTGACTCACTGCCTGGGTCCCTGAATCGATGATGACGGACAAACTCGACGTCAATATCGTGTCTGCAGAGGGCGCCATTGTCACAGTGAAGCCTTCCAGAACCATACGTACGGAGAGGAAAAGAAGCGAGGACTGCCAGTCGAAGACACTGGCTCAATGGTTGTTCGATCACCAAATTGGTATGCTGAAAGGAGCTGATGGACTCTACCGCAGCCACCTCCCAACCCACGTTGAGCCAATGCTTACAAGATCTCATCGTATCTGAACAGGGCTCACCTTATATGCCGTCACCCCTCTCCTCATCGCCCATCTTTGCATCCCCGGTGCGCGTCCACACACCTCAAAGTTCCTACGGCTCTCATACTACAACCCGGCCACGGGCAAGTATGGAGCGGGACATGATGACCTCTACTTCGTCGCATTCTGTGTCATGCTCGCCATCGGCATCCGCGCGGCCTTTATGCGACACATCCTCGCGCCCCTCGGCAGGCATTGGGGTATATCGAAGAAGAAGGACGCCACCCGCTTCTCCGAACAGGGCTGGATGCTGGCCTACTACAGCGTCGTTTGGCCACTTGGAATGGTACCGAGCATCGCTCTCCATCTATGATTCAGGGCGTTTCCCATGACTGACCGGCGTTATAGTACCTCTATCGCAACTCGCCACACTTCCTCAGCTTGAAAGGGCTGTGGGCCGATTGGCCGAAAAGGGAACTTGATGGGCTGATGAAGGCCTACATCCTGATACAGTGGGCGTATTGGGTGCAGCAAGTCGTTTCCGTGAACATTGAGGCCCGCCGCAAAGATTACTGGGAGATGATTGTTCATCACGCCATCACCATCTCCCTCATCGCCTCATGCTACGCCTACCATCAAACCCGAGTCGGCCACCTGATTTTGATCCTTATGGACGTCATAGAGCTGATCTTTCCGGTACGTTCAGCAGAAGAGGCACCCTCGCGCGACCCCTGCTGACAACTGCTGCAGCTGGCCAAGTGTCTTAAGTACGTCGGCTTCACCACCCTTTGCGACGTGGTGTTTGGTGTGTTCCTCTGCGTGTGGGTCTGTACGCGTCACGTCTTCTATCTAATGGTCTGCTGGAGCGTCTACTACGACCTGCCGCGGAGTTTGGAACTGCCGTGCTTCCGAGGTGCTGCGGAAGACGTTGTAGGCCCTCTTCAGCCCCCGGAGCAAGGCTGGTCCCATCTCGTTGAGCCATTCGTAGACCCCAAGGGCACAGTTTGCATGACCAACGGCATCACGAAGGGGTTCCTGACCTTCCTCCTCGCTCTCGAGGCCGTCATCTGCGTCTGGTCTTTCCTCATTATTCGGGTGACAATCCGTGTGTTAAAAGGGGCCTCTGCCGAAGACGTCAGGAGCGATATCGAGGAGGAGGAAGAGGAGGGGGAGGAGGTGCAAGTTGTGGAAGACGTCGGCGTAGAGTCCATTGATTTGAAGGCCTGGGAACGCCGCACCGCCAAAAGGAAATCCGGCTTGAGGGCGAGTGGCGTCAGTATTCATCTTAGCCAAAGTGACCGGAAGGAACTGCTCAACAGAATCGGCTGTGAGAAGCAGATTGAGTAACGGAAAAAGAGCAGTGGTTGTTATTTTCATTGGGTGATTAGCCAAAAGTCATATAGGGTATATACCATTTATTAATTCCGGAGCGTCCATTCCTTTGAAGGCCTAGGAGGAACCAAGCTCATTTGCAGATATTAATTCACTCGAGCAGGCCAAGACACCGCAAGAGATGCAAGAAGAGACAAAACGGACTCCCTAATTTCCTTGCAGCCCTAGCAGATACACTACGCTCGGTTTAAATCAACTTTTTCTGACCTGAGAGGGATACTCAATAACTATAGGGATAAGTCTCTACAGTAAGCTAGGGTAGATGAGGAATTGCAAGTGCTTCTCTACGGCAATAACAATGACCTTTAAATACCTTAGACACTTGGCAGGGTGGCGCAACTCGAAGGATCGAGTTTGAAGACAGATGGATACTGTTGAGCGAAATCTTTGTCGGCCATATGATATGCACTTTGGAAGGATTGCGCCGTAATGCTATTCAAATGGAGACAATCTACTCATTCACAAGTGCAGAGAGTCCCGCCGCAAACATCCCAGCAACTCCCATTTGCCGTCACGAAGATAATCTCACTTACAAATTCCACTGAATCTATGTCGATGGGGATCCAGAACTCATACTAACTTGATAAACACAGAAGTTGGCTAGAAGTCTGTTCGGTTCATTTTGTCTTCACCCAGTTCAACGGGTGAGAATTATCCAATGTAATGCGATGTCTTTCTTCCCGTATCCCGGGGAGCCATTTCAGGTACATCTACTAGGGTACCGATCCTTGAACTGTTGGCCACCTGGATCTTGTGACGAAATGCAAATTTGCAAGTCAAAACTAGGGGTTGCGTAACGATTCACTTCGTTGTCTGCACAAGGAACGAGATAGAACAATCCTATTGCCTTCTCAGTCGAAAGGGATAACTTCAGGTGGGCTGCTCGGACTATAATGCTGGATTGAGTATGCACGGTGATTGGAAAAGCCTCAAAGACCATCAACTATCTTGAATATAAGGTAGCTTCATCTCGGCAAGGGCATCGAATAGTTGTCTTGCCTACTCATTCCTCCTCAGCCGGAGCCTCGTCTTCGTACTCGTCGCCGTACTCGTCATCCATGCCTGCATCCTGGTACTGCTGGTACTCGGATACCAGATCGTTCATGTTAGACTCGGCCTCAGTGAATTCCATCTCATCCATGCCCTCTCCAGTGTACCAATGCAGGAAAGCCTTTCTCCGGAACATGAGGCTGAACTGGTCCCCGACTCTGCGGAAACTGTTCTGGATTGCGGTGGAGTTTCCAATGAACGTCGATGATACGGCCAGTCCCTTAGGCGGCACAGAGCAATGGGCAGTCTGGATGTTATTTGGGATCCATTCTACGAAGTTGGCCGAGTTCTTGCTCTTGATGGCGTGGATCTGTTCCTCGACCTGCTTCATCGACACCTTTCCACGGCTAAAGGTATGTTAGCTAGAATTCATCAAGCGACATGGAGGGTCCAACTCACAACATGGTGGAGCAAGTCAAGAAGCGTCCGTCACGGAAATCGGACGCCAACATGACGTTCTTCGGGTCGAACATCTGCTGTGTGAGCTCGGCGACACCCAGGTTCGAGAAGGAGGCCGAGGAGGTGAGCGGCGCGAATCCGACGGTGAAGAAGTGAAGTCTGGGGAAGGGGACGAGGTTCACAGCCAGCTTGCGGAGGTCGGCGTTCAATTGCCCCGGGAAGCGGAAGCCCGTCGTCAAGCCGGACATGACCCTGGACACCAGGTGGTTGAGATGTCCGTAGGACGGGTGCGCTTGCTTCAGGGTGCGGCGGCAGATGTCATACAGGGCCTCGTTGTCGATACAGAACGTCTCATCCGAGTTTTCGACGAGCTGATGGATCGACAAGGTCGCATTGTACGGCTCGACAACGACCTCAGAGACCTTGGCAGACGGCAGGACAGAGAAGGTCGCCATCATGCGATCAGGGAATTCCTCGCGGACCTTTGCGATGAGGAGGGTGCCCATGCCAGAGCCAGTGCCGCCACCGAGGGAGTGCGTGATCTGGAAACCCTGCAGACTGTCGCAGGCTTCGGCTTCGCGGCGCACGACGTCGAGGACTTGGTCAACCAGCTCGGCGCCTTCGGTGTAGTGGCCCTTTGCCCAGTTGTTACCCGCGCCAGACTGTCCGTAGACCATGTTGTCGGGACGGAAGAAGTCACCAAGGGGACCGGAACGGATTGCATCCATGGTTGCGGGCTCAAGGTCAACCAGGACCGCACGAGGAACGTACTTTTGTTTGGCAGCCTGTATCATGTCAGAAAGCAATAGGGAGAAGTGCGCGACTACTGTATCAAGTTACCTCGGTGAAGTAGACGCTCAGCCTCTCGGACTGCTGCTCATCAGAGCCGCGGAATCTGTCAAAATGTCAACTTGGCGCTCGATGAGCGAAGTGATGTCGTGTTGCATCGCGGTGAGACTCACACTCCATCTTGATCAAGCCCGTGCTCGCCGTGAATGGTTTGCCTGGTAGTGATCAAAATTAGTCTCATCCCCTGAATGCTGCATCGGCGGTCCCATCCTCATACCAGAAGGCTGTGCCGATTTGGTTGCCCTATAGATACTTCGTCAGTCAGGGCTCGTCCATTCGGCAGCGAAGAATACGTACACATTGGCCGGTCTGGAGGTGTATCTGTTGGATCCCTGAGTCAGCTGAGAATCAATACCTCTAAAGGTACGTGGACAAGGTACAACTCACAATCTCACGCATTATGAACTTCGGGAATGGTGTGGATTGTCAGAAGCTGATGGTGAAAAGCAGAGATTTCCCCCGCTACTCAAGATAGGTGGTCATCTTATAGATACGTATGCCTGTAAATCACAACAAATCCCCTATCCCAACAACTTATCGCTGCGTATCGGATAGGCCCGAGCAGAGGGTAACTTTGCGGCCTGGATTTCCAATCCCCCCCACATGTTTGCGCATCGTTGAATGGCTGCCTTTCTGATTCGACAGCTGCCTACTCAGGCAGCACAGTTTTGCTCACTTTTCGGAAGAGAGAGTGATAGGGAGGGAGGGGGATGGGAAAAGGAAAAAAAGGGACCTATGGCTGATGCCCATGTTCTCGGAGGCGACGCCGAAAAGGGACCAAGCTAGTCCGCGTTGAGTGTATATCCACAGAAATGATTGGTACATGGGCTCTGTGTTGCTTTGCTCAGATTTCTCGGCATCATGATTCAGGTTTGTATGGCCGTAACTGGGAGGTTGCCTAGAGGCTTGGAAACTTCTTCGGCCAATGGGTTCCCCTGGATACACAGCTGCCTGGCTATGTTGTTGTTGCACGGTTGCTTAGTGCTCTACCCATTGTTGTTGGCCTTTGAGTTTCCAGTCCATGTATCCGTAGCGCCGAGTCAGATTCCAACTGGTGTTCGTAGCGGACTAAGCCAGGGTGGCGCAATTTAAATCTCCCAAGACCCAGCACGCCATCCCAGCGCTCACACACGTGGTGACGCGGGGTCAGCACTTGGACAGCTGGAGAGCTCCCGGGATGCAGCATGCTTCCATTGTTGGCGGACATTCGGCACGAGCGTACGGCCAACCTTCTACGATCCGGAATGTAGGCAGGTCACATCGTCAGAAAGCGAGCCTTATCCGAAGACGGTTCCGTCCGGGCTTCGTCCGAAGACGGCGTTAAGCGCCACAAGACGAACCCGGACCGAGGGCGATGCATTTCACGCTAATAATTCGAAGAATAACCGTGGGGGCAGGAAGCTGCCATCACAAGAAAGAGTCTATTTGGGACGTTCGCCATACATCAAGGTTAATCGGCCTGTTGAAAGTTCATTGCCAGAAGAGGGAGAATACCTAGGTCAGCGGACATGTGTGCGCCACTGACATGCCAGTGAGCTCAGGAGCACGTATGCAATGGATGCTGATCCATTCATATTCGAGGTGCCTACTACGACCGGCAATTCTTTCTGACTAGGGGAAATGGTTCATCCATCTGCGACGGTGATAGCCGCTTGGAATGCGGGTGCATCAGCCCTCTCAGGGGCACCAGATAGTCGAACATTCTCTTGCGGCATGGACAGGGTTGGAAATACTTGGCCAAGTCGATTTAAGTCGACCCATTTCCAATCCTGTCCATGGGTGAAGATAGTATGAGAGAGGGAGAGAGAGAGAGAGAGAGAGAGAGAGAGAAGGGAGAGAGTTTGATGACATCGTGACCGGAAGCATCGCCCAAAAGCAACGCATGGCGGGGCGTCGGCCGGGAGCCGGCGGAAACAACGAAGTATGGCAGGGTGGTTTCGTCTGTCTCCTTTGAGAAAGCCAAGAAAATTGTCTCGCGGCTCGATGAACTAGATAATGTGGCTTTCGCATCAAAGAATTTGGACGCGTCTCGAATCCAGTGATTGACGAAATTGGCATACCTCCCAAGTCTAGACATCCTGCGTTCCGATGAATGAAGCTAACGAGAAGATATATCAACATCGAACACACCCGCGTAAATTTCGTTTAACGTGCTTTCAGTCTACAGCTTCGTTTGCAACACTATCATTGACGCATCCTTCTCTTCGTCTTTCAAGGGGCTAAACGTTCCTCTTGGTCGCTATTGTACCTATTCGATTCATCAGATATCCAGGTGATTCTGTGTATCCAGCCCTTCTTCGCCAATATGCACTTCCCCGCAAGATCAGCAGTTGGCCTGGGCCTGATGGCTGCCCATGTCACGGCCATTGTGCTGCCCAATGTCCTCGGTCCTATTGTCACTGTCGTCCCTTCAGGTCTGCCCCTAACTATTACCGTCACCTCTACGATGACCGGTTTGCCCCCGACAGCATCATTGAACTTAACGGCATCAATGAACTCGACGGCATTGTTGAACACAACATCATCATTAAACCTAACGGCAACGGCAAGACCGACCGTCTCGATCAAGACCTCGGGTACCCCCTCTACTGTTTTGCCCACTCCCACCACGCCCCCAACTTCGGGTTTGACCGCCGATCAGCAGAAAGCCCTTAACCTTCACAACATATATAGAGCCCAGGTTGGTAATGGAGACTTGACCTGGGATGACGGCCTTGCCCAGAGCGCTCAGAAATGGGCAAACTACCTCGCCGCTTCTTCCCTCTTTGAGCATGACCCGAACACGGGTGGCCAGGGCGAAAATTTGGCCTATTTTCAAGGTGTCACCGGCTCCCAATACGCCAATGCTGTCCAGCTTTGGCTTGACGAGAAGGATCTGTACGACGGGAAGCCCATTACGGACAAGGCAGGCGTGCCCAACTACCATACATATGGCCATTACAGTGAGTCTCTATGATATTTATATCAATCGAGACCTTGACTGATCGGAATGCAGCTCAGTGTATCTGGAAGTCTACCAATAAGGTCGGCATGGCCATGGCAACGGGTCCAGACAATAAAGTCTATGTGGTTGCCCGCTACCTCCCCCCCGGAAACTAGTAAGTCGAATGCCGTACGCCCTGCACTGATACGACTGGTGTCTGACCATTCTACAGCATTGGCCAAATGCCTTACTAGAAAAGCGTAGATGCTGCGTCTAGAGCACGACACAGCCACACACCTTTGGGCTAAATTCATGAGACAAGCGTAACAGAAATTTGGTTCAAGCTAGATATGACTTCGTTTCGTTTTAGACCATATGGTCTCTTGATGGTGCTGCTTTTCTGAAGGCCACTGTGAGGTCAACATCTTAGTGTTTCAGGGTCAACTCTTTGAGTTGCTTTGGGAAGGCCGAAAGTACATATACATATATTCTGCAATGGCTCAATTACGTGCATGTAGTGACAGCCTCAAGGGTGGTGACTTGAGGATGAAACCCCCAAGACTTGAATGCTCCCCAGAACATATAAAAAGCGGCCTTTCACCCAAGTAGCTCGTTTGGTCCTGAATTACCAGTCAACATCCATCTACTACTGAGTGGCCCGAGGTGGATCTGCTGCAATAAGACTGATGTATAATTTGCAAGCTTTAGAAGGCAATCTAGTGCAGTGCACAAGTCCTGGTTCAGTTGCTTCCCGGGATCTTTAATAACCGAAGCCGTATGTCAGTTGTTGGATATCTCAGATAAGTAGAGCGCAACTATCTACAGGAAAGTCAAAAATATCACTGTCGTTTTGAATGGTCTTCCTGGATTGAATGACTGACTTTCTCAACGAAGGTATGCTGCTATGTCTGTCTGAATGATGAGGGGTTTGAGGGCAATAGATCCGTCTACTGATGTATGATAAACAGTACTGGATAAGAACATGAAATCCCCCCAAAATAAACATCGGACGTAGAATCTACTCATGATTCAAATCCAACCCTTCCCTGAGTGTTCTCTACTCGAGCATTGATGCTTCAAGTGATCAATGCATGAGGACTATCAAAGCAGTCATCCCATTGATTGCCGGGGGAAGCGTAAAACCTCTCAAGAACTTCTTTCGCAGCCAACGGCAAGTACAGACCCAGGTCCCGAGACACCTCTTCCAGCCGACAGAAAATGAAGGCCCGGATCGTAGGACCGAGGCTCTTAGCTTCAAAACCGGCCACGATAATTGGCCAAGTTGCGCAGTGCTTCAGCATGTCTGAAGCAGCTGACTTTTTGAGAAGCGAGAATAGCCTGCCGGAGTGTATTTTCTTGACGGCCGCCCAACCCGCCGACGACGAGACCGCGCCAGCGCTCTGCAGAGACAAAATACCAAACAGAACCACCGCGGACTGATAGATCTGCGCCATCATCAGGTGCTCCTCCCGTAGTTTCTCCTTAGTCTCCGACCAGGGTTCTGGGGAGAAGTCTGTGATCTTCGTAAGGAGATCTTCCGCTTCTGACTGAGTTGTCCCCTTGGCACCTTGGCGCGAGGCAAGGAAGCGGAGGCGATTGATGTCGACGATGTCGATGAACAACTCTGTAGGACATGGCAGATATGGGTAGTAGCCTGTTTCGAATGTGTCGCGAATAAGAGCCTTTAAATCGAAATTCAAGACGGGATACATCTGATCATCTGCTGGGCTGGTCGTGTTGGCGAAATTTTCGATGCTGCATACGTTGATTCACGTCAGGAAATGGTATGAGAATAGGAGGAGACTGCCCCCATGAGGAATACAGAGAATGCCACAACTCACATCTTACAGAAAAGGACCAAAGTCTTCATATGAGGTACTTTGCGGCATAGGTCTTCCCAGCCGCCACGCAAAGCAACCAAGGCTGCAAAACCATTCAAGTGAAATCGCCAGTTGGATGCCGTCGCAGATCCCATGAGCTACCATGAAGGCATCAGCTTGTTTACTACACAGAATGCGAGAGAGGGGCAGATATTAGTGCGTACATCACCATACATAAACACGACCACGCCGGACATTGTGAGATCGGAGGTTCGCCTGCGTTCATCCCCGATGTCCTTGTTTAAGGCTTGGACTGCCGTGGAGCGATGTTGTATAGCTCTGGCTTTTACTTCGGCCACAAAGGGGTCGTGCTTCCTCGATATCATCTGTAACATGCGATGTTCGATAGCCATAGCAACCAGGGCGTGCTGTATGGGAGGCTGCATGTAGTGAACGCGCGTTACGGGAATAACCCATGGACTTTGACTCAACTGGTTCAGGGATAAGTATGGGTATACTTGTTCGTTCCCTACGGTGAAGTCGCCGTTTGTTAGTATTTATCTGATAGGTAAGCAACAGCTAATTCTTGTATCCCTCAAGAGTACACTAGGCTTACGACAGGGGAGTCACTAACAATACAGGGTAGCCTCAATAATGTCGCAGGTGTCAGTGCGAAATTCATGCCCGGGAAAGATATGGACCAGTTGTTTCCCACTAGTGGGCTTTGCGACTTCGACTTGACCATCCTTGGGGCGCCCCTCGGTGACGGCGTCTTTATCGGGAAGCGCGCTTTTGCGCTTCCACGTCCGCGTCTTGACTTTGTTGGGAGCCAGCCAAGTCAGCGGCTTCTTGTCGTCATACCCGGGACAAACCATGCCGCTGATCTTGCATTTAAAGCAGACGGGACGTCCCGAGTCGCAGACCAACCGTCGACGTTGGCACTCCCAACACTGTCGTCTTTCACCACCATTCCTCGTATGGGCGGGGTCCGTGGTGGCAGGAGTCAGGTGATTTAATGCAGGTGTCGTCTCCATCATGCTCAAGCACAGTCATTTGGACGCTTTGGGTTAATGGAGGTATGGGCTATCGACTGCGTAGTGCGCCGGTCCAGGTAGAAGTTTGATATTAATGTGATGAATCATATTGTTACAGACTGGCCGAAACAATTGTAACTCCCTCGCTGTCACGTGGTAGGTGTATATATGTCAGACAAGGGGGCACAAAGGTGCAGACGGGTCTTGGCCTTTCTATCATCCTAATAAGGAAAAGCGCCTGTCATCCTTCGTGGCTTTGTCATGGCTTAGCACCCACTCGATAGGCAGTCAAGTCAGCCCTAAAACCCATGCAACTGAGGCCAAGATGTTACAGCAGTTAAGTGACCCGTGATATGACTGATACGAGCCTAAGATAATAAATAATGTAAATGTAGATCATTCAAGGCACCTGTGATTCAAGATTGATAAGTTGCTCTGTGTTCGTCTTTATCGCGAGTGTTAGTGTAGTAGTCCATGAACAAGAATCTATCTCTAAGTGAAGGGTTTGAGGTGAACAGATGAACCATGATCTACAAAAGTCGTCAACTTGGTAGTATGTAGATATCAGATGAGCCGTTGATTACCATGCATTAGACGTTTAAGCTTGATGTGCGTCTGTCAGGGCTTATTGTCACAATCCATAGGCTATAATGGACGCGATAAAGCTTGAAGAGCGTAAGTTTTCTAGATACGGAGTCAGGAGTACAATGAGATGGACTTAGGGCCGGGGTACTATCAGTATAAGAGTACACATGTTCTGATAGGTTCACTTCTTGTTTCCTTTTCACGCACTTTATATGGAGAGCCTAAACCTACAGATAACCTACGGAATGGCAATGGCATTTCTTGTCAACAATTACGACTCAGCAACCCGCAAGAAGCGCTTGGCTTACCTCGCTCACCCACATCGCATATCTGTGGGGCAGCGGGTGTCCCATTCGCACATGAACAGGAAAGTGGATGATCGTGATCGATAACATTCTACTACACAGCCTTTCTCGATCGTTTTCATCATGTTCGCAGTATCCTTCTTTTCTTAGACGCATAGCTATGGTCCGGGACTTAAGGTACCTGCCCATAGATGTTCAAGTCCAAGCATGCTAGTGTCAGACCAGATGATCAACATTGGACGATGTGTATCCGCAGCTCGTCTCAAAAAGAAATCGTGCCTAATCAGGAGCCCGCACCCGATGATCATTTCCGGTACGTCGGGGAAGATGAACAAGTCTGAATGTTCATTCTGGTTTCAGGTGAATGGCCCATATCAAGTGCCCTGAGAAAGATGTGGACTGTATGGGATTCCGGACCTTTCCATGTACATGTCAAAACATGTGTTTAACCACCAAAGGAAGAATCTGCAGTCCGTGAGACAACTATATACTTCTTAGATATATCCTAGAGATATCATTGAGACCGTTGTCAAGTCTTTGTATATGTAATTGACTTGACATTTTGGAATTTGCCCAGCCACCTAGTGGCCCATAGGCTTATAGCGTGCGTGGCAGGTTACAAGTGGAAAGTAGCGTGTGTGGATAGCACATGTAAAGCATGATGGTGGTGGTAGATTAAAGCTTTCTGATTGCAACCAAAACAAGCTACCGGGTCGAGAGAATGGCACAAATCGTCCTGAAGCAGAGGGTCAAATGCACTGCCATCATAGTGTACCGTTCAGTCCACAGCGGCATTCTCATACCAACTCTCGGTGCAAATATGCTAGCGCCGATGGCTTAGTGGTGAAATTCTCCGTTGCCATCACGCAGCGTCAGGGAGCCCGGAGGCGAGGCGCATTATCTCATGCATCACTTGTTTCTTGCTGTTGTCCCATCAACAGCTCCCATTTTAACTTCTTTCTATATTTCTAGTCTGGATGATGTCTAATGCACACGTTTACACCAGACTCAAACCTACTACTACCTTTAGGGAAGGAGACTAGGATTTTTCTCTGCTTGATGGACATTATCTCGCTCGCTACTACAAACGGCGCTTGAATTGTCTGATACTAGTGCGTGTTGGTATGCTATCCTACTAAGCTTTCGGCTATACGGGGTGAGACCTTGGATGGTTCCTGTGAAAGGGGCGGTACATCACCTTTAGGATTAGCTCAGGAGCCATCTGCGTTTTAGGAGTTGGATGATGCTGCATGTACCTATGGCCGACAGCGACAGGAAACGGTTCCTTTTGCATAGAAGACCTTCCCAGCCAGCTGGCTGAGCTTCGTCTGGTCCTTCAGACGATGATTTATGCACACAGAGGGGATATGGCTGCGGGCATGGTACTAGGGGACAGTGGCTCGCTTGAGAGATACCTTATCAACATCCAGGCTGACGGTGCAACGGGTATTGAGACACATTGTTTTCTCGAGAAAACGTGGGATAAGGCACAATCGATCTCGAAAAGAAACATCTCATGCTGATACAGTGGCAGGATTCTCGCAATTCCGGCCATCAACCGACGACTAGCCGGATCCGATATACAAAAGTATGGCGGGCACACTACAAGGACTAACTCTGCAAGCGAATCGTGATATTCGCCATGCGACGAGGTCGCATCGGTCGGGCGTTTGTTGTATTGGTCCATTTCTTTGGGTTCAGCAACACTCAGAATTTAAAAAATGGGGAAGCCAAGCTTATAGTTCGAGACAAGCCCGAAAGATTCAGCTTTGTTTAGTTAGGTACATGGTATACACGACTGTGTACGGTCAATATTGTGTACTTGTGCGACCTTACGGGACCGGCCGCCCCTTTCCTTCAAATTGAATTTTTTTTTTGAAGCTTCAACTGTCTCTTACTGGATTTCCTCCACTCAGTCTCAGTTTGCATTGATCTAGCCTGGCTGCCTGATGAAGTTGGCTAGAATCGGGAATAGCGGTTTATCATGTCACCCCAGTGAAGTATAACCTTGACAAGTTTAGTGACTTGCAGAAAGTCTGAAGTCAGATTTTCTGCACGTCACTGTTTACACATTGTCGCGAATGCATCATGCTAACATGCCCAGGACCGCAGTACCTAGTGTTGTCACTCTCAAGAGTAAATCGGAAGTCTAATATGTAGTTTACTAGGCAATGCCTACCTACCAGTCCACTTCCGTAGGTGTGATTATTTCCGAGGAGTATATCTGGCACCGGAGTGGCTTAAGGATGGAAAACTGAGATGAACTTTCAAACACCCACCCTTTGGGTACAGACAGATCAGTCGGACACCGTATCCCATCCTATTGCCCCGCGTACCATGATCCGTTCCGCTCGAGTTTGGCCGAGACCGTGCCGGGTCGCAAGGCTATTGATGATGGCTGCCCCTTGCAGCCCTGCTCCTCCATGCCGATCGTTGGGAGGCCGGGAAAGGAAGGTCCCATTATCTTCCAACCTGGGAAAGGTCCGCCTTCAAATGCAGAAATGAAGGAGTGTAAGCCCGAAACCTCTTGGCTCGTAACCCTGTCCGACGTGTAGACAGACCACTTTCGGAAATGATCCAGAAAAGAGAACGGCGCGGCAACCGACCCGTGCCGAGCCAGAGTAGTAGAACCAGATGGAACTGAAATCGCAGGTACCCGCCGTCCGCGCTCGGATGTTTCTCCCTGACGAAAGAGGCCGAGAGGTAGGTGTGGGTGCATATCATGCAACGCTGTCTGTGTCGCCTTATGGATAATGCCGTGTAGGTTTTGACATGAAATGAGATGCTTTCGTAATTTCTAGCCATTAGTATGAACCAACCCGTGGGGCTCTTCAGTTCGATGTCGGAACTGGGAGTGTGGCACGGCGCACCGCACTTGGTGAGTGATTAATGGTTAGGACCTCTCATTATTCTCATTATCCTTCGTACTCTTCATTCAGTACGTAATCGATATTTGTGACACGTCAAAGTACAATGGCAGGGCAAGAGAAGACGCTGCGAACCACCCTGGTCTTCTCTGCCGGGTATCCAACAATGTTCCCATGAGGCTTTCCCAACAAACACCGTAAATGCGTAAGCTCCTCCCAACCTGCGTGCGCTGTGTACAAGGGAGGAAAAAAAAAATATCTCCAAAAAAAACTGCCATCTTTCATAATGGCGGCTGTCTTGAGGCTATTCTTGCCGCTGACTGGGGAGTATCGCCCCTGGCGTCCTCTTCTGAAACCCAAATCTCCGTCCTCTTTTGAATACCGGGTTCCAGCGGAATGTCGCTGTGATCGCTCTTCGTGACTGAAGGTCTGCGTTCGGAACGGATGTAGGTGTCCATCGCGTCGGTGTTGTCTCCATGCAACCTGCTGCCGTTGTATGCAGAGCGTGAACGATGCGACGAGGACTTTGCGTAGGCCGACACATACGTAGGTACCTCCTTCTCTCCGAAGAAGTAAAACCAGAGGGATCGAGCAATGGCGAGATTGCCTGCAATGATTCCGAGATAAAGCTCGAGGTTTGACCATATTGCGGTTACGGCATAGACGTCTACATCGGCATTTGTTAGCAATGACTTCTGGGGCGCTCTAGACATGAGAAAATACGTACAACTCAAGTCGACAGTCTTGAGCCCCAGCGATGCTGCCCTGGCGATGCCGAAGCCGGTTGCACTGCCACCTTGTTAGCAAGACAGCTTCAAAGAGGGGGTCGACTTTGACCAACATCAGACCAAGACTCATTAGGCCGCCGACCAACAACTTGGTCGCCATCGGGATGCGGACTTGCCAGACGACTACCAAGGGCAAAAACGAGCATAGCAAATCGGTCAAAACAGAATACGCTGCGATGAGTGATGTCAGCTTTGTTCTCAAAGGAAGTGTCGTCACGGCTTATCCAAATGACTTACAGATGGTCAAGTAGATGGAGTAAATTCGGATCTTGGCATCCCAACATGTGCCCACTCCTGTCCAGTATGCATCGACGGGATCGCACTCTGCCAGTAGGATGACAATGACGCCAAAGTTTGTGACGACCAGCCCCGCCATTACGGTCCATAGGGAATATTTCAGCTTGATGGAATCTTTGATGCGGAGCAGCAGCAGCATGATGGAGCACTTCAAGAGACAGATGCTGGAGAAGAGGAGGATCTGGGCGAACCACCCAAGCATATTGTTGTGGACGTATTGCTCGGTCGAAATGTACCATCTATGCCTCCCGTTGCCGGATGCGCCCTGCGCGCACTGGACGCCGTATCGAACGATGCCCAGAATGGTGACGAGTGCCATCAGATAGTCGTCCCATCCCAGGTGGCGCAGCATGAACCGAACATAGAGGCGGGTCGACGTGGTGAAGACGACGAAGAAGATGAGCACGCCAGAGATGCCGAGGAGGACCGGATTGACGTTCTCGTCCGGCGGCAACGGATTCGGAGGAGTGACTGGCGACATCGTTGACCTTCTCTCCTCTCTCTGGGGGAAGAGAAGAAGAAAAAACACACGGTCAAAATATCGTCGAGTAGGGCCTGGTAGCCTGAGTGATGTGCCAAGCAAGGAACGAGGGTGGGCTTGTCTAGCAAGAGAGATGGGCCATGGGCTGGATAAAAAGCCTGAGAGGTTGAGTAACGGGGGAGGGCTAAGGAGGGTAAACGACCCACGAGTTGGTGGCCTGGGTGGGTAGCTGAAGGAAAGGATGTTCGCCAAGATCTAGTTTTAGATGGCGGCCTGACCTTATCATCCGCCCTGGATTTCCAACAAACCACTGCAGAGCAGCAAAGTGCGGCAATTGGGCGGCTTTGTCGTCTTAAGAGCTGCGACGAAACTTGATAACGTGTGAGTTGAGAAGGATACTGACAGACTTCGTACGCTGCCAAAGGTTCCGCACGCACCCACGCCCTGTATGCTCGGATAAAGTCTGTACGCGATGCGAGGGGTGCCGGGGCGCATATGTCTCAAGATGGGATTGATCCCGCAGTTCACTGGACGGCAACATCTTGTTTTACCTACACTGTACCACAGTAGTATGCATACGATGAATCCGCCAAGGGTAACGGGTCCCAAGAGCAGTCTACGAATGTTCCTCCCACATCACTTTCACTGCCCAGAGGGCGATGCTACGTACCATAGAGAGGAGGTGGGTGGGTGGAGGCACTGATGCCTGCAGACTTTAAGTTCCGGGTTGATCCATGGCCAAGATGGCCGTGTGTCTCCCAGGGTTCGCGGAGGATACAAAGCCCAGAATAGGGCCTCGCCCGAAACTTTACTGTATGGAAAATGACCCCGGATTGTAGGCGGTCATCTCGTCTCTGGACGCCACAGAGGTCCCTAGACCAATGTCCATCGTATTTGCCAGGCTTGCTGGTAACTCGAGCTGATCGGGCGGTGTGGGCTGTCGCGCAACATGCCACAGGCCCTCTCAAGGGGCAGAGCGTCCGAAGTGACGGGCTTGCCAATGTCGGCTGTATGCGTATTAGAGTTTCCCATTGCCATCTCGTCCGCATTCTCTTGGCCTGTTTGTGTCGTTCTACGTACGTAAGCATGGTGGACGGGACGTCAACGACAGAAGTCATATCATGATACTATCATGATGATGGTGGGCAAGCCGCAGTACTCTTGCTATGACACATACACCTTCTTCTCATGAAAGGGGAGAAAGAAGCCAAGTTTCGATTCCATGCGGTCTGGTGCCAACCTTGGAAGGGGAAGATGGCTTGAGCCTCAGGGGTATAGTCCAAGGAGGATCATCATCAGCGGTTAGAAGGGACGGGCCTCCCCAACGAAAATACGATGGAGAATTTGGAAAAGGAAAGGGAGTCCAAGGCGCTTCATGGAGCAAATTCCGTTATTTTTCTCGGAACACGCGGGGATGGCTCATAGCCGGCTAGTGTGGGTAGGCGAATGATTCGCTTAGGCGGACAAACGGAGTCGAGGGAGATGGATTCGCAGGTACAGGCATGACCCTGAATCAGGACACCAGCTCCTGGTGAACAATCGACCGGAGAAGCTCCGTCTCCGCTAGCGGGCAGTGGTAACATTCCGGGAGCATGAGCAAGGACGTCGATGGAACGGTAGCATCGCCAAGCACGACCAAGCGGCTAGACCCCCTTCGTACCCCGGACAGCGCAAGACTTTACACGTTAAGGATGCTGAGAGATTCAAAAGTGTGTGTGTGTGTGTGGCTGGTACCCTCGATTTCTGGTTTAGTGCAGCAAGCCAACCATCAGCGTCAACTACTCTTTCTAGTCTTCCCTTCTCTTTTCTCTTACCCTCCCTCCCAGGATATGTCGGTAGATGGCTCACGCGCCTTCGAGGCACAGCAAGATCGGCTCTAGTGTCCTTAGCCCACACCTCCTCCATCGTATGCCGGAGTATTCCCTATTCCTCCTCCGTAATAGTATAGTAAGAAAACGCTCAACACCCCACCGAGCCAAGATTACCAATATTTTGACAGTCCCTGCCTTACTATTGTACATGTGGTGCCATTGGGGCTGTGGAGACAAGGATATCCGCAGGGTCGCGCATTCGCTGACCGGCATGTTTTCGAAGACTAACCCGCACTATTGATCCAATATCCGCGTTAGGGACATTAGCGACATGCGATGACACATGGGAACATTTGGGGGCCAGTCTACAAAAGGGTAGTGCAGTCCAAGTTCTCGGTGCGTCACGCGTTAATTATACCACAGCCCGGTAGCCTTCTGATCGGCCTCACGTGCCGATACGCGCATCATCTGTTTGAGCTTGTGCTGACTAGGTACATACTGGGTTCCAAACACTATTCATAGACGATCTTTCTAGAGCATCGCTGCGCTGTCTGAGTCATGCTTGTCAAGGCGTGTCTTGCCCTCGCTTCCGCGGTCCTTGTTTCGGGTGCGCCGTCTCCGACGCGGCCTTATGGAGACGATGCCTACGACTATGTAAGTTCCGCCATCCCGCCTTCTTGCGCTTGGGTTGCTTTTTGTACGGGGGGGGCCTTTAGGGCTGTATGGGCTCACCGCTCCCCCCTGACACCGGAAACACGCGGCTGGCACACCATGGTTTGGACACACTGACCTCTCATCCAGATCGTCGTTGGTGGTGGCACCGCTGGAGTCGCCGTGGCCGCTCGTATCAGCGAGGGACTCCCCGCAGCCAAGGTGCTCTTGATCGAGGCTGGCCCCGCGGTATGGGACGAGCCTAAAATCAACGTTCCCGGTATGAAGGGATCGACGCTGGGGACCAAGTATGACTGGAACTTCACCACTGTGCCTCAGCCCGATGCCAAAGGCCGTGTCTTCTCCGTCAACCGGGGCAAGGTCCTGGGAGGCAGTTCCGCTCTCAACCTCATGACCTACAACAGGGCAGCCGTTGCTGAGTACGATAGCTGGGAGGCTCTCGGCAACCCGGGGTGGAACTGGGAGGCGATGATTGCCGCCATGAAGAAGTCCGAGAACTTTACTGGCATCAACACTGACACGTACGGTTCCGAGGGCGTCGGTGACAGTGGCCCGGTCAAGGCCGTCATCAACAGAATCATCCCTAAGCAGCAGGAGACATGGATTCCGACGATGAACTCGTTGGGTATCGAGACCAACCTGGAATCACTCGGAGGAAACCCTCTCGGTGTCATGTACCAGCCCAGCAGCATCGACCCTACGCACTACAACAGGTCCTACAGCGCCAACGCATATGTCCCTATCGCCGGCCCCAACTTGGTCATCCTCCCAGACACCACTGTTGCCAAGGTTAACCTTGAGAAGGACGCAGCGAACTCGGCCCTACAAAGGGCATCTGGCGTGACTCTTCAGGACGGAACCGTGATTCGGGCTTGGAAGGAGGTCATTCTCTCTGCTGGTTCCATCCAGAGCCCGGGCCTGCTAGAGCTCTCTGGCATTGGCCAGGCTTCTGTCCTCGAGGCCTCTGGCATTGAGCAAGTCATTGACCTTCCCGGTGTCGGCGAGAACCTGCAAGACCATCTCCGCATTCAAAGCTCCTACCAGCTGAAGCCCAACTACACCTCCTTCGACATCCTTCGCAGCAACGCCACCGTGGCCGCGGAGCAGTTGGCACTCTGGAAGGCTGGCCAGGTCTCTCTTTACGACTACACTGGATCTGGTGGGTGATTTCCATCAATGTCTCATCTTTCAATAATGAACAACTTTACTTACGCTACTGCTTCAGCCTACACTTTCAGCACGTGGGCACAGGCGATCGGCAACGATTCCCACTTGGTCAATCTCGCTAAGCAAGCCGCCGGCGAGGATCCCGGTGTCGTTGACCAGAAAAAGCTAGAGTTCCTGTCCGATCCTTCCATCCCCCAGCTCGAGGTAAGAGACCCCCCCCCACAACGACACCGACAACTCGACATTGTTTCTAACAACAGACTTAGGTGATCTTCTCGGACGGCTACACGGGAGTCAAGGGCTACCCTACAGCCACCTCGCCTCTCTTTGGCAAGGGCTTCTTCAGTCTCATCGCCGTTATCATGCACCCCATGAGCCGGGGCTCGATCCACATCAACCCGTCTGACACCGCTGGCAAGCCCATAATCGACCCCAACTACTTCTCTCACGAGCACGATCTCGAGGCCGCCATCCAGGCCATCAAGTACTGCCGAAAGATCGCCCAGACGGAGCCCATGAAGCAAGTCTGGGAAAACGAGTATGAGCCCGGCCTGGACGCTGTGCAGACCGACGAGCAGTGGAAGCAGTTCGCCCTTAACACCACGTTGAGCATATACCACCCCGTCGGAACTTGCTCCATGTTACCGAAGGAGGACGGAGGTGTCGTAGACGCCGACTTGAAGGTGTACGGCACGTCCAACCTGCGAGTGGTTGATGCTAGTGTTATCCCCCTCCTCATCTCCGCTCATATGCAAACTGCCGTTTATGGTATTGCTGAGATTGCCGCGGAGCGCATAATTGCCAGCGCCGTATGCTAGATAAAAACAACGTAAAAGGCATAGAGCTTTTTAGCACAAAAGTAGACATAAAGCCTCTAAAAGATAATCATAATGATCAACCACTCACGTGTTGGAAGTTTTCACGATGTCCTAGTTTTTCTGCGTAACATGCCGCAACTGGCAATCTATTGTTTGGCAAGTCAAAGTTGACTAATGTCGGCCTCTATGGGAACGGGTTGTGTACTAACTGCAATGACTGCACATCATAATTACACTGTGAACGAAAAAAGCATTAAATTGAGAATTTGAAGCGGTGTATTTACTGGAGACGAGAAACTTTATACAATATAGAACACAATGTTTACGCTGAAATGGTTTTGGAGAACCATGTCACTAACCACACCGAAACACGCGGACATATCCACTCAGCGATCGAGGGCCGATCATCTAGTGCAGGCGGGCACTGCGTCTAGATCGCATGGCCCGGCGGGTGGAGCGTTTGGCACATCCACCGGAGTTCTTCGGGGCGTCTGGGGTGGAGCCGGGCACCGTGCCGGCACCGATCTTCTCGGCTGCATGCTCAGCTGCGATCATAATGATGGACTGGGTGTTGCCAGTCGGGAGATCGGGGTGGATGGAGGCATCGACGACGAAAAGGTTGTCGGTGCCGTAAACCTTGGCGTTAAGGTCGACGACAGCGGTTCCGTTGTTCTTGCGACCGTCGTCGGTGCCCATCTTGGTACTGCCTACCCAGTGGTCACCACTGATGATCTTGGTGTCGATGATGTCTGCAGGAGTAGCGCCGGGGGTGACATAGCTGATGGTTGAGTTGGCGCCGCTAGCGAGGTCGAGCCAGTACTGGATGAAGTTGGACATGGTCTTGCGATCCTCGGCATCGACAAGCCACGGCTTAGTCTTGAGGAGGGTGTTGCCGGAGGCAGTGATGCTGAGCTCACCGACGCTGGACGTGCCGTGGGTCAGGAAAGTGCGTAGGTAGAAGACACCGTCGACCATGGCGCTGGCGGAACCCTGAAGGTAGCGAGTACGGCCGTCGGCACCCTTGGCACTGGTCCAAAGGTGGATGCGCTGATCTCCCTGGGCGATGGGGCCGGAGCCGCGCTGGTAGAGCTCCAAGTCGGACTTGATGGGGCTAGAAGCGATGTCGGAGAAGGGGTAGGCAGTGAAGTTGGTCTTGGAGTTAAACTTCAGCAGGATCTGGGCGTGGTCCCGGAGACTGTGGCCAACGGGGAGATCGATCCAGTCGGCCTTATCGCGCAGGGTGACGCCAGTGGTAGCAGCGCAGGACTTGACAATCTCCAGAGCATCCGAACGGCCGATTCCAGAGTTCCAAAGGACACGAGGAGTAGACAGGGCACCGGCGGCGAGGACGATCTTGCCGCCCTGGTTGAGCTTGATAATCTGTGTGCTGCCGTCGGCGGCCTGGACGAGCACGCCAGTGACCTTGCTGCCGGTGCGGATGACCTGAATCACCTTGGTCTCGAGCTTGAGGGTGAAGTTGGGCAGCTCCTGGGCAAAGGACATGTAAGTGCGAGCGGGGCCGGCGCGAAGGCGGTTCTTGATGGAAAACGAAGGGCGAGAGAATACGGCGTCTTTTTCGTTCGGGGACGCGATGGAGTCAACCTGAGTCCAGCCCTTAGCCTGCAGTAGACGGGACAAGACATTGAAGGTGAGGTCATCGTAGTACTTCTTGTCGCTGGAGGGACTCGTGGTGCCGGGGTTACGCTCATAGAGGCGGGAGGCGGCAGCGGAGATGTCCTTCCAGTTCCAACCCGCGGGCCAGCGTTCAAAATCGCGCTCAGGGGGGTGGATGAAGTTGAGTCCGTTGACGGAGCTGGTTCCTCCCAAGACACAGCCAGCAGTGGAGGCAGTGTCACTGCAGAACGAGACACCGGACAAGGTAGTTAAGGTGTCAGCGAGACCGGGAACATCGTAGGGGGTGAGGGTATTGTTCCAGGGCAGTGCCAATTTGGAGCCGAGGGAAACGGTGTTTGCAGCACCGCGCTCGATAAGGAGAACGCTAACGCTCTTCTCAGCGAGACGCTCCGCAGCTATGATACCAGCTGGTCCACCACCCACGACAATCACATCGTAGGTGGTATTGGCGGTGGTGGGAGCAGGGATGGTTCTGTTGCCAGCAGCAGGAGTAGCCGTGCCGCTGCCGGGGACAGGCGAATCCTCAACAGCCTTGGCGTATTTAGACCATGTCTGGAACTTTGCAGACTTGGCTTGAGCAATGTCGAGACCAAACTGACCGAAGCCAGCAGAGTGGTAGTTGAGAGTAGCTCCGGGGTCGGAGGCGGGGGAAGGGCTGTCGTTGGAGTAAGCCCAGCCCAAGATAGGGCTCTCGCGGGCCAGGCTTGTCTTGTCGTTGATGCAGTTCTTGCAAAGGAAGGTGTAGGAAAAGTGAGTACTGTTGACAAAGGTACCGTTGGCGATGGGAACCGCGCCGACTTTGGTCTCGTCGTAGACGGTGGGGTTGGCGTAGGCGCTAGCGACACGGAAGCTCGTCCTGATGTCCTTGCCATCGGCCCAGGCCACGAATAGCAGACTGTTCAACATGCCTCCGTCCAACGACACACTACCCCAGTTGCCCGTCTCCGAGATGGGGACGACCATCTGACCGATGAAGTCGGTGCCGATAGTTTCGGGGACGGCGATACCGAAGCTGAAGGGATAAGAGTCGGGCTTGTAACGCTGGAAGTTGATGCCGGTCTGCGGATCGGTGTAAGCCGAGGCACGCAACTGCGCAGCAGTTGTTCCAGCAAGCCCGAGAAGAACCGCTGCTCCAGAGAGTATCGCACGCATGGCAATGGCTGCTTCAAGTTTATTCTGATTTCTAGTAATGTCTGATTGGTTGGATGGATATAGTGGAAACGAATGGCTCTGGGTCTGGTCTGTTAAGAGATAGAGATAGAAAATATGCAAAAGAGAGTGACTGTGCCCTCTAGGGACAACGATGTGGGAAAAGAACGAAACACCGTCCTAGCGGCGAATCGTAAGAATCGGATTGCAGAAGAAGAGGAGTCTTGGCGGTTGGAAGAAACAAAATGGCTCATTCATGTTGGTCTTATATCTTCGCCGTTCACTCCAAAGATGCAGGTCTTTTACTCACAAGTCCTCTTTCCTGGACAATCACATTAGGCAAGGCGAATACCCACCCAAGCGCTCCGTAAGTTCTCCGAAATAAACTGATGGTTTCATACGCAGCAATTCTAAGGGTCTGGGTCCGTAGTGCCTGGCCGGAAGTGGTTGAGTGGTCTTTTGTCTCTGTCTTTGTCTTTGGCTGCCCCTCTGACCCTAAGAAGTGCATTTTTGGGGCCGCTGGGTTGTTTGAAGTAAACTCGCATCGCATATCTAGCGGAGCGGGCCGAGTACGGGAGCTGACACGATGTCTCAAATAAGAATAACGCTGTTGAACTGCCACATTTGCTTACATGGGGGGATGTGCAGCGGGTTCTAGAGTCCACATGCAGCGATGACGAAAAGTCTTGCAGCCTATCTCTGTTCTCTGTCAACGAATTTCAACAGAGATATGGCGCGTATTCCTCCAATCTGAATGCAGGTAATGTGGAAAAATCGGATGAAACAACTGAGGAGTAACAACGGCCGTAGTGGATAACGCGAATACATTGCAATCTTCAAATATTCATAGCCATCCTTGTGCGTACATACGTACAGTAAATGGGAGACTTGGAACGGACTGACGGCCGAGCAAACGTCAATCTAGGAGCAGAAAATGTATTGAGCCTTTGTGCACTTACGTCGAGCGTCATGCACACCACCCGCTGAAATCGGTACGGCCCTCGTGATCCTGGTGTTGAGGCATCTTGAATCGATCACATGTCGTATTGCCACATCGTCGAAGTTGGGATGTTGAGCTTTGGATGGGATCATCGAGGTCACTGTACCCGAGACGTCCATTAGACTCAGGGGAGTCGGCCCGTCAAGCTTCGGTCCACAATTGCCCCTCGTAAGCTGGAATGAGTCCCGCTCAATTAGAGTAATTCATCTTTATATTTATTGAAATTAACTGGGGGTTGCGGATGCGAATAGATTGAATGGAATAATAATCGGTTGAATCTGGCCCAGGTGCATCAAATCACATTGTAACCGACTAATTACAGCTTGTTGCTCAAGCCTACTCCACCACGGGTCGATTATTTTTCCTTCACCTGGAAGAGACTTTTCTGGTATTCTATCTTGTCGTTTTCCCGTCATGATAACCTGGCTGCTCATTGCTGTTTCCAAATCATTATTGGAACCTCGGTGAACTGCCTATTTGGAGGGAAATGTGGGTTTGCTTCCATGCAGAGGACACCATTGTCGGAAGATATTGCCGGCATGGTTCCCTTCCGTCAGATTCATTGGCGATCTGAGGAGCGAGGGTCGCATTCTTAAACCTCACCCGAAGACTATTAATGCTCATTGCTTCCAGCACAAGTCTTATTATCGAAACGTGGCACCTTGCTAAGCTTTCTCTGTGTGTGGAGATTGCTCCGTGTTTCTGTGGTTTAAGAAGGCAGAAGAAAGAAAGCTATCTACAGCTCGACTGGATGAGCTGAATTTCCTGCCTGGCCAGGGTACGGCTGTATAAGTCTGCAGCGTAATAGCTCTTGCCACACAATGGACTCTCCCCACCTACGAAGATAGTTTCAACCACACAAAGTCGTAATTTAATGCATGTACGGCCGGCTTGTTTACTCTAGAGTAAAGTATGGTTACTAGAGTTGAATGCCATCTGGGAGGCGGAGTAGAGAGGTGGGTGGGTGGTTCTTGGAACTTCTCTCAGACGTCGGATTACGCTATATGCGCCGCGCCAAAACATTTCTAATTCACAACGGCCTTTTTCTTTTACTTTAGAGGGCTGTTCAAGAGGTGCTCACCGATCCCCTTCGTCGGAACAAACAATGTGATGAATTTCAATCTCATGGGAAGAAGTGCCCCGTCAAGTGAACGAGACCTCCAAGTTTATCATATTGATGGGTGGACACATGTATCAAAATGGTAAAAGAATATGGAGGCGGCACTGCGGTATCACATCTTTTGGTTGCTATTCGTACGTCGGGGTATCACTCTGCTTGGCTGGATAGCTACAGCGTAAATGAACCCTCAGACACAACAGAGTGCAGCCCACCGGTACCATAACAGCTATGATGGGGTAGATGATACGGGTGGTTCGGGCTAAACCAATTTCATAACCCGAAATTTCGAGAAGAGAGAGAGAGAGAGTATGGCCCGGCCCAGACCATATATATTGATGGCGCGTCTTTTCGTGGCTCCCAGGGGGTTTGTTTGAGAAGTAAGTACTTCTCGTCACGTCTGCTTGAACCATATGGCATATTAGAAATGGATTCTAGGGGTTGAATTTTTTTTTTCGTAAGACAGATGCATCATGCCTTCTGTGAGGAGGGCAAGCTGTTGTTGCTGGAGTTTGTGGTTGTCATATTTGGGCGCGCGGAGAAAGCGAAGACAGTATCGAATTGTTGCAGCCTCACACACCTTAACTGCTTGGACGTGTTCCCTGCAAGTGAACGAGGTTCGTTTCATTCACACGTAGTCGAACATGAGAAAAATAACTACAAGTTAAGTTGGGAACAAACTGTACCTTTACACTCAATATAAAAGTTGGTTGAGTTGTCATTGAATCCTCTTACCGCACAACATATTCTCATCGCAACTCTCTGTCACCTATTAGCGGTTAATGACAGGGCGGACCGATGCCGAAGCCCATTTCCGGAACGGTGCTCTGATCCACCACCGGTCCGAACAACAACGAACGCAGCACTCCGTTTAAAAACACTCGATTCCCCGATATTAACGATACCGGCAAGTAGTGAGGGTCTGCTGGCATACATGGCCGGTAGAAATTACAGTTATAAGACAGATCTTGTTGGATCCTATCTAGAGCTGTCCTTGATGGCTCGAGAGGATTTGTGGGAATGCAGGGAAACGCCGCTCTAACCCGAATGAGTCGTGCCGCCGATCCGAGCAACGCATGGGCACTGGGGCAATTAGATTGAGTTTCGGGACCAACGGCCAACCTAAGCGTGATTCATATTACAGAGAGTAATATTTCGCCGTCCATCGTGATCAGATAACAGCCAACTACATTCTTATTCGCGATTTTGGAAACTTGCTCCAACTTCCGCTATGAAACCGCCAGACAATCTTCATCGACGGTGGCCGTCGGTAAACGGCAACTGGATGATTTCCGAACTGGTCGATCTCAAAGTCGCTTGAAACATGACTGAAACCTCGGTAACCGCGGCCCCTGGATGTTCACCCTATACGGATACAACTCCACGTTTGCGGAATCATCCGATCACCTTTCTTTCTCCAAGAAGAAATGCGTTCTCGGTTCATCTCTTGGCTCGACTTGGCTTCCTTGGCTTCCTTGGCTTCTCTTGGCTTTCGATCCCCTGGTGCCTACTTTTGATGATCGTTTTCAGTTGATTACCTCATTCCGAGCAGCCGCCATGCTCTGCGAAAGTCGCCCACTGGTGGTGTTTTCGCTCGGCGTAGCACTTATCTTTGTTTGGACGCTTCGTCTTTTGGGCGTTCACGAGGCGATAAACGATGCGGTGTCAACAATATTCGACGAGGCACCGAGCCAGCAAGATGCAGAAAGCATCTTCATTCAACAGGCCATGAGCGTCGAGTACCCTGCCCCGATCGACTACGAGCCTATCCGGCAGATATGTTCCCGTAATAGTTTTCGTCCGGGATTGCTGTTCAGCTGCGAAGGTCAGCATGGCGGTATTGGGATGGTGCGCAACCAGATCCTGAAGTGCGTCCGGTACGCAATCAAAGGCGGAGGCGCGATAGTTATTCCTTCAATGGCGCTGCGCAACGCGAAAGACATCACCGATATCGAAACCACTACCGAAGTGCCGCTCGACTACTTGTTAGATCACGAAACATTCGTCACTCATTTGACAAACGGATGCCCCGGCATGCGTGTCTACGAACGCGCAGAGGACTTTCCGTTTTACGAGCGGCGGATAGGGGAGCCTCTGAGCCTGCTGGGCGACCAGTTCGAGCCGCACCATCCCAAGGAGGGATTGAGGTACCCCCGGAAATGGCGACAATTCTTCGACGAATGGCTAGATAAGATGTCTGTCAGGGACCGGATGCAAGCGGACGCTCCGGTACACATCAAGATGGAGCAGAGTTTCCTCGAGTATCCCGTTCGCGACGATGGCGAGGCATTCGTGAACGAGTTCGGCAAGATCCTGTCTTTTCGCAACGAAACCCGCGCCCTGGCGGCCAAGATTATTTACAAGCTAAAAGAGAAGTTCGCGTTACCCATTGATCCGACAGTGGCGATCAACCCGAACGCCTACTATGGCGCCCACCTGCGACTCGAGAAGGATGCAACTTCTGCTTGGGGACCGGATGAGTGGCGCTTTTCGCGTATGGACGATCAATTCGAAGAGCAATTCAAGAACGTGGAGCGCAGCGGTCTCGGCGTCGTATACGTTGCGTCCGGGAACCAGACCGTGGTTGATATCTTCGCCGAACGGCTGCAAAAGCGCCTCGCGGCTGGGTCAGGGAGGAATGTTACAGTGGTGACCAAGCATGATCTGCTCCAAGGGCCCGACAGAAAGCAGCTCGATGGCCTCACGTTCGACCAGCTGGCCCTGGTGGACTTTTTAGTAATGTTTAAGGCGAGCGTGTTCATGGGCGTCGCGCACTCCAGTTTTCCCTGGACTATAGCGTTACGCAGGCACGAGCTCAGCAAATACTCGGAATATGGTAACGAGGGATCGGACTTACTGCGAGACGAGTACAGTACCATCATGGGCATGGAAGCCGACTATCCATATGTTGACCCATTTGTCTACGGTATATGGCCTTAGGGCTTGCTTGGAAGCATCAAGAGCACACGTGAGTCGCATGGATCGAGACGTGGGAACTCGATCTATATGACGTTAAGACTTAGAGCGTTACACTTGTCAATTTTGCAAGTCGGAAACTTTTATGCATTAGGGCTTTGATGGTGCTCTACCACGTTTTCCCGCTTGACTTCGGCCATACACGTTAGCAAACCGCTCCTAATACCACGTTCTACTAATAAATAATATACATTGTACTACGAGAATTGATAGAAGAAACAATACACAGACATGCCTGAACACCCCAACCCAATTGAAGACATCTATGGGCCGACTATTTCTTCTACCACGGCTACAATCGCCAAAGATAACCGTACTATCCCTGCTGAAGCAATGTTTAGCGTGGGAGAGGGCGTCGTACCACTCGGAAATAAAGCACCAGTCGTCGAAGTAGCCCTAGAGAACGCAAATTTAGTCCCCGTGGTCGTAGATCCTCTTGCAGCACCTGAGGCTGTCGTCTTGGAGTTCGAGAGAGCATCCACCGTGGCGATGAGTGTAACAGTGTGGGCTGCATAGGTCGAGGATTTAGCGGCCAGCTTGATACCGCACACTGCTTCAGTGTCCACCTGTCCGTGAATGGCCTGGGAATGGAAAGTCTCTGGAGCATCAGGGGATTGAGCTCTAAGAGTCCCGGCAGTGAGATGTCATACGACCCAGCTAAGCATGCTCGCCATTTATTAGAAGCCTTTCGGCGGGCCCTGTGATCTAAACCGCACTTAGGGGAACACTCCCAGTAGGGAAAAGTTTGGGATAAAGTACCCGAGAGGGGCATCTAGTGCAGATTCCAGAATGCCCTCCGCCAATCCCCAAACACGCGAGCAATTGGATTCCTAGACATTTCCTTGACGGAAATGTTATGGGTAACTGCTGTTTTGGCCATACTCTCTTTTACTCCACCAGATATTGGAAGCGCAAACGGCACGTGCCATTCGAGTTGGCCGAGGTCAAACGCGTTGTTGACGACTTTCCCCAAAAGTCCAAGAAGGCAGGCAAAGCGAAGCTTATCATTGATGTTCAAGCCAACGGTGACGGCTTCGTGACTGCTGGTTTCCAACTCTAAAATCAGCTCTTCCCCAAGACTGCAGACATATGGGACGGAAACCGGCTACGCGCTCACGAGGCGTTAAACGCCATTGGCCTGACTGCTGGAAAGGTGTCCCCAGAGCTTCTAGAAGACTTCAAAACTGCCTTTTTTCGACACAGATGAGAAGCTCCAAAAGAGCTTCCAAGCTCTTCATGGACAAGGGATGAATGGGGGTCAGAACGTCATCAACCTGCTGCGATACAACTAAAGCGACGTCCGATCTCTCCAGAGCGCTTCTTCTCCAGAGCACAGAAGCGCAAGTGTTTGAGCCGCAGAGCATTATTGTTGTCACTGATGGTGCTTGCGCATCAGCATGCAAGATATTTACTAGCCTTCTGGTCGAAGAACATGGCGTCCGCACCATTGAGGAGCTTACGAACCACTTCCGTCATACGTCAGGCAATATACAAGCGTCAAACGCTCCGTCATCGACGATCTCCGGCTATCTGAAGACTTTGAGTATTAGTACAATAAGTCCAAGACTAGAAGTAGCCATACGATATAGAAGCATCGGATGTAGATTGTTGAGGACGGCGACTGTGCCATTGATGACCTGCAAGATGGTTCGAATGCTGAGGTACCAGGGATTTGTCAGGGCAACTGTAATTAGCTGAATGCCGAGGAATATCCTTGAAATTCAAGCTTTAGGGAAAATGAACATTCTTAATGCCGGTTTCGTGAAATGGAGTGGGTAATCATTTTCCCGCCACTTCTATAAACTCAGAATCGTGGAGAAAAATCACATCATTGTGTGCTTGTGCGGCCTTGAGAGGGACCGCCTTGCAACCGTACCTCAGTGGAGAAACATCGCAGATTGACTGTGCGGTCAAGTTTTTGATCAAGTGCACAGCACATCAATGCGGATAGTATTACAAATATACCGTACCACAGTAAACAACAAAAACCTACACATTGTCGGGAATGAAACTTCCAGTTTCGTACTTCTCGTCGCAGACCCGACGCGTGGTCACGAATCAGGTGGTTAGCACACTTCTATTGCCAGAATCCAGTCCCAGAAATGGTATTCTATGCCCTGCGATAATGAACATAAACTCTAATTACTTTTTGTATACAAATGGTCAGTCTAGACACAGCATCTTCTTGCCAAGTGACGTGTTGTTTCACCGCAGCGACCCACATGGGAACCTCCTTGACGAAGATAACACTCTTGTAGAAAAGTGCCCTGTGAGAGTTTGCGGGACTATCCACAACTAAGCAAGGCCCGAAGCTCCATTTAAGTTGCGTTATCAGGCATAACAGTAGGGGGATACTGAGCGGTCATGGTAGTGCCTTATCGTTAATGATCAACTAAGAAGACGGAGCCGGGACATTCTAATAACGTTATTCGCGTGAGTGCGTTCATCAGCGTATATGGTATAGATAGCATTGCAATACAGCAAGGCACAGGCTGCAGGTTGATTTGTCCAAGGATATATCTTGAGTAATATAGCATGGACCTTTAGACATCCACTGACTCATTGAGCCCTACACAAATTAAAAGAGAGCTAAAGACCTTAAATTAGCTGTGCCAGGCGGTGTGTTTATCTATGGTTACACGTCCGCAAGTCCTTTGATCGCCGCATGGATCTGTGATTACTTGAAGAGTTTGATAACCATACACTGCCATCCATTTTGGCATTCGATATCTATACGCTTTTACGTAGTTCCGCAACTCGTCAGGCAACAATACCAACTCCAGCTCATGAAAGAACTGGCGGGCCGCATGCTTCCAACATTCTCTCATTCGTCCACTCATGTCTCAGAAGCTGAGCATTATGTTCTGTGAGAAACTCTCTGAAGGACAACTTAGCGGGTTAACGAATGGGACCCCACATCATTGCCGCGAAGGTTTTGTTCTTCCCAAGGCTCTTTGCAATGTTATTGAGGGTCAGTTCTAGAACTGTCCAGTAGAGCGACTCGTAGGCTATAACAAAGTCTAAGTTCTTTAAGCCAGGGAAAGGTTCACAGGGGTCCTCTCTAGACTCTGCTAAAGCAACGACAGGTGAAGATCGTATCAGAAAAGCGGTCTTTGGAGTGGGTGTCAGCCATTTTCGCTTGCGGTTCTGGCAAACAACATGCACAGACCTGGATACGTGCCTCAACAGACCTCCAATGGCGCTAACACGGCCGGCGCTGATATTCTGGGAACTTTTAAGGGGTCCTTCATGTTAGCTGAAGGATGCAGGGTTTATTTAATCCAAGTAGTTCGTCACGTACATAAGTTCTAAGCTTCAACGCGATGCAAAGCTACATGTCAAAAACGCTGCAACAGTGTCAGTGAATAGCGAGTCAGAAGAGTCTGTCTGTTATCTATGGCTGATGGGGCGCTCAGGAAGAAGTATTATCCATTCTCGAAGAGAAGGATAGTCTTGTAGACTGTAGTGCAGGTGAACGAGTCAAACTGACGTTTCATTCCTCCACATTCCTTCACGCGTCAGGCTTTTGATTCCGAGCTTTTGTAAACAAACATGCTGATGATCAATGCGGAGTGGTTTAAGCTTCTTCCTGCGCTGCACCTAAGTTTTCGAGATGCCGGAGCTAGTGGAAGTTATTCTCGGTCTACATGCCTGTTTCTAAACGCTGACTCGCAATCGGAAGAAGCATCGAGTCACACTAGAAAATATCTGGCCCCGCAATCCGGCCACATATTGAACGTCTGAGTTGTCAGTGGATTGATCGCAGCAACACATAATTTTGGTTTCTGGCCTCTACAATACTGGAAGTGTGTAGGGTGGATGGGACCTATGCGGTGCAGCGATTCAGAGAGAGAAACACCAACAACCCCAAAGGCAACACAAGATGCTTCCTCGATCGGAACAAGCCTGCCTTGATCGAAGGAAATTAGAGTGATCGAAGGAAATGAGAGTTATCGAAGGAAATGTGAGTGATCGAAGGAAATGAGACTCCTCGATCGGAGTAAGGTCTGTCCCGATCAGAGGAGTAGACTCTCCCGATCGCTTTGTGTTATCACGTCTAGTTAGACATCATAGGAAAGGCTCCTAGCTCAATCAAGCCGACAGATAGGTCTCTTGAAAGGAGGAACAGTTTGCCTTGTTCTCCTTCGTCTACTTACTTTGATCAGCATATATCTTATACTCGTCCTCCTGATCGGAACTATCTTACTCCTCTGCCGTCATCCTCCGATCGGGACTTCCAGCAATATAATAGAGCTGATTGCCCCACCCTGTTCCAGTATCTTATACACAGAGGCACTGGTGCAAGCATTTTTGATGGAACTTCCGCGTCTGCCAGCCAAATCATCTCGGGTGATCTCCCATTTCCCTCGCTCAGGGTTCACTGGCGTCTACCGAAAGTTCGGGTTCTCGATTACAAGGGACACCGCAGAAACACGACGTTTACGGAGAGTCAGGTCGAAATCTTATTTCATCTACCGAGTACATCAGACGATCTGACGAAAAAGAACAGAATAGAGTCAAACATGGATTTCGTGGTACAAGGACTCGAACTTAGAAGGATGAGCTGCATTTCTACTAATGTAAACTACTAGCACGAAATAGGCTTACCACGTATCAGCTGACATCTTGTCATGCAGCGAGCTTCAATGTAACCTGGTCCTGGCCGAACACTAGAACCAAGAAGCCGCCAAGTTGAAGCATCTTGGAGCTTTGGTACTTCCGCCGGCGGTGAGAAGGGAAGTGTTGCCTACGTCACTGACTTGGTAACCCGGTCCCCAATTAGCTATCGTATTATTTAGCTAGTGCGCCGCCTGGATTTAACTATAAGTGAGGTTTGAGGCAATGATTGGATTAGTCTCCCGAACTCAATGCAGGTGATACATATGACAGGATCGTACAGCCTCCTTGCCCGGCCATTCTTCGCTCGCAACTGCCAACGGTCTTTCCAACTTGAAGTTCTGCCTTTCCGCGGCTCTATTGACAAGAATAATTTGATTCTGCATTAGATTCAATCAAAACTTTCAATATGCGTCGTGTTACACGCAGGAGAGGGGCCTGTCAGGGATGCAGGTCAAGAAAAGTTCGCTGTGAGTATTGTCAGCTTCAAGAACATCGGACATTGTTTTTAATTATTCGAAGGCAATGGTGCGGACCCGTGCCTAAACTGCGAGGTATGGAATACAACTGCCGAGCCCGTTTACGCTCACTATGTTGATACTTACACATTCATTGTAGCGGAATCGTCAAACTTGTTACTACCCCCCCTTAGCTCCTCGACCTCGCAAGACCATTGCGGGTGGAACAGGTGCCGAGAGCCAAGCAGCTCATCACAGACGAAGGCTGGATATCAATGCCGGCCAGATCACTTCCTCTTATGCAACATGGCAACGATTTTCATGCGAAGACTCCATATCAACACCGGGTTCATCTGGAGACGATGGGAATAGCAGTATTGGATTAGAACCTCATGGAGATGATTTCAGCTGCATGCAACAAATCCCACTACCCCATTCATACCCTGGTTCACAGTATGGTGATTTTGGTATGCTGGATATACCAATTCCAGGGGAAGATGAACTGTTGGAATTGCTTGACTCATCGCCTTCGGAATGCAGTTCAGGGGGAGGATTCAGTTTCGAGTTTACAAATTTGCAGGGCGCCAATCCTGACCCATCACCAATGCCAGGACAATGTATCACGCCAAGTAATCACTGGGAACAAAGGCAGCGTTCTATAAGTCCACCAGACTATAACACGGTAAGAGAATTAGCCCGAGATTTCTTACTGAATATAAATGGCTGAGTGTTCGCAGCTCTTCAACTTTAACGAATCAATAGAAGTCGCTTGGAAGGATTTGGATATGGAAGACAAGTTGATGAACGTCAACGAGGCCCAGGCAATCGTCGACTTCTCTGCATCAAAACTCTACGGACTGCCCAGCTACATTTCAAGCATTAGTCAGGAACCACACCGGGCGGAGACCACCAAGATTGTAAATGAACTTCGACTTGTTCTATGCGGGAATTCGTCGACCGCTGGAAGAAAAGAGGGACTGGATGAGAACAGAGACTGTCCCGATAGTGAAGTTTCTCTCATTCTCTACTGTGATTGTAAGCGGAATGCAGTTCAGGTCTTTGTTCAATGCTAACAGATTTCCCATTCAGCATGCTTCGAAGACGGTTGTCCGTAAGTGTATTGCGACGATCAACTGCATTGTTCTATGAATCAAGTTCTAGTGACTGACACTCCGTCGTCTGTGACTAGTGTCGCCAACTTTCTCACTCGATCCGCAGTCGATAGAATAATCAAACAGTCTAGAGAGCCAGACGCTGATGAGCTGGTCACTGTGTTCGCTGAAGCCATTCTGGCCACAGGCTACTATACAGCATGCCTTCGAGGTCAAGAATCTACAAGTGTGAATGAAATGCGTGCTTCCCGCTTGCGTCTTTCATCTACATTGGCACTTTACAGCAAAATACAAAATTCGCCAAGCAGTCTCATGAAGCTTCAAGTAAGTGTTCTCAGACGTAGTATTTTTTACCGAGTTCTTATTGAGGGTTATGCTAATTGCGTGCAACTCTAAGGCAACCTTACTTATGGTAAGAAATCACTTTAGAGAACGTTTTCAAGCCCTAGATTCTAACCTGCCGTAGGCAGTCATCGCTTCTCTGTGTGATAAGTCTCTTATCTGGGACAAGATCACTGCAGCTGTATGCTGTGCTAGGGAGCTTCGACTTGTGCATACAGCAAGAGGCCAGCAACCGAGCTTGAACGAGGAAGATCAAGAGCTTGCACAGCGTAGTGTATGGTTTCTTTACAGCTTAGAGACTCAATACGCGATTCATCACGGCATGGTTCCGGTGAGTGATGATGAGATGAAATACCGTTATCCCCTCATACTAAACGACAACTCAGATCTTGGATCCTGAATGGGGAACCCAGTTTCCCTCTTTTGAACGAGGTGACGACATGATCGCGGTCTCGTACACCTACTCGGAGCTTCTTCACTGTATTCTTAAGTCCCAATACAGTCCAAGAGCACTTAAAAAATTGTCTTCCGCCGATGATCATGTTCAGGCGAGTTGCCGTGCCCTCAACGAGTGGGTGAGCAGGCTTCCCTCACCACTAAGCGAGGCATGCGACGCCAAGAATATACAAGAAATTGAAGACGACCGGCAGTTACGGAAAGCATTTCGTGTCTTCTGCATGTATCATCGAGCGATATTCTTTATTAACTGTCCATGGATAACGTCAACCCCTTCCGATGATTCGAAGTCATCCAGGGTTCCTGAGCTAACACGGGAGAAATGTGCGGAGCGTTGCATTGAGTCAGCATTTGCTGTAGTCAAGCTGGCAAATGGCGGGCTCTTTTGGGAAAGGGGTCTTGAAAGGTAGGCATTGCACTCCTGGTAATAGTTGTAATAATGCGCCTAACATGATTCCATTAGAGATTTCAGTTCGTCAAGTGGACGGTGGGGTGACATGGGTCAGCTTCTACTGGTCTCCCTCTGTTTTATTGTCTATTACGTTGTCAATGGCAATAAATGCGACCGGAAGGCCGCCATGCCTTATCTTGCCATCTGCGGTGGCTTGTTCGGGCAATTGAGTCTGGAGAGCGAGGAGGGGTCGCTTGCTGATCATTACCTGAAGTTGGTCCAGATAGTCAGTGCTACCTAAGAAATCACAGTTGAAAGGCATGATCAGCGAATAAATTGCTCTTTTGGAAGAAATAAATATGTGGCAAGTCTGGCATCAGGTAGATATGGGAAAGGTATCTTGTGATATAAAATTGTGCCTGGGAAGGCGGATCGCCCTCATCTCCTCTGAAGGTGACACAGAATCTATATCAAGTCCCGGAGATGGATCAGAAAGGCTCGATACGATGTTTTATTGCATGCATCAAGTGATGAAGAAGTTGCGGTCGGTGGAGAATTGACTGAAGTTCAGCCGAATATTTCTGTAGCATAAACAAGAATGCAGTCAGAGAAATAAAGGTGTATATAATAGAGATGTGAAAGAGGGTGCTTAGTGGTAAAAGTCCCTCGACGCACACTAGTATGGCCAACTTAGCTTATAGTTAGAAACGCTAAGAACGGTATGTCGCCGTAATACGTTTGATGTGTGACTGCCTCGTAGTTCAGCAGCATTTACTTGGAGTTGGCCGTTCGAGAACCAGGTCTTGCCTTTTACAGTTGCCTTCGGTTCCGGTCGATGGGCATGTGTCCACGTCTTGCTAAGAACCCGACCTCCCAGGTAACCCTGTGTGGGTTTGGGCAGAAGGCCTAGGGTGGCCGCGGTGGTGATAGTGGTGGTACTGGTCAGAGAAGACGCTATTGTATATGAAGCAGGAAACCTATCTTGATAGCCAGCTGCTTCGCTTCCCCATCAATCACAATGCCGTTGTTTCCAATGCCTCCCTGCTACAATCACAGACTTGGCCTAACGCCTTGAATAATCCCCCTCAACATTCTACGAATACTCCACGTCTCTCTCTCAAAAGAAGGCTGATGACCTTCCATCCCTACGTGTTCCAGCCCGCTGCGTCGGCTGCGTCCCCGCTACCCTGGTGTCTGTCCATTCCGGATGCCACTGCCTGTTCCCGCTCCACTCCCTGGCGATGCGTCCCTGGCCCCGCACACTCTTAGCAGACCCGTTGCTCAGCCCAAGCAGGCCGGCGCTGGCCAGCAGCAGCCCCAGCATTATGAGGTTTCCTGCCTGCGAGACGTTACTGCTAAAGATGGCCACTATGTATACGGCTAGCTTTGCCACGGCATCAAGGTAGCCCTGCATAGCCGTCTTAGAGAGTTGCCAGGCGTCAGTCGTTAGGGAGGCCAGATCAGCGGCCGTGCCACGCATACGCACTTTGACCTTTGGTGAGAGCGGGACAAGGTACTCAGAGATCTTAGTGGGGGATGACGCCGGGGTTCGCAGTTTAGGAGGAGTCAAGGGCGTGCGTTGTTTGATAGTGTAGATGTTGAGGATACGGGAACCGATGAGAGCCAGGATCGAGCCGAGGCCCCACCCTTAGTTTTGCACGTTTTAGCACAACGGGGGGGCCTTGTAGAGAGGACGAGTAGAAATAACTTACAGTCCGCCAGTAAAACCATGGCTGTTATAGCCGCGACGGTGAGCGCCGGGGTCGCGAGGTACAGCAGATGGCTGCCGCGCTCATTCCAGTGCGGGTGATGCGCAGAGGCCTCGCCGTGCCTGTGGTGCCGGTGGCCAGACGGGCCGATGTCGACGTCGATAATCTTCTCCTCGCCCCCGCTGTCCTCGGCGTCAGCTCCAAGAGCTTCGACAACGCTGTCGGTTCTTTTTCTCCTCCTCTTTCTCTCACGCTTCTGCGCGCGCTCTTCCCGCTCCTTGAGTTGCGATAGAAAGAATAGCATCCCCGGGTTTGTGACCCGGAAGTCTGCCGTCCGCCCGCCGGGGTGTTCCTGCGTGCCATAGACGCCGGCTGGTCTCGTGGTCTTTCTGCCGCCGTTACCATCGGCGTTGCCTTTACCATCATCTCCGCCAGAGCCAGAGGCTTCGGAGGAGGTCCCGTTACCGCTGTTCCCAGCGATGCATTCGGCCGCATGCTGGTAGTGCAAGCCCGGGGCGAGGACCAGGGCGTCGGCCCAGGAAGAAGTCCCCGTAAGCGCAGCACGGTTCGCAATGGTATGGAGATCAGCGAGGGCGATGAGGCTTGTTACCGAGAGAGTGACCCCGGGTATTGGTTGCTTGGGGAGGACCGGGAGGGGCATTGTTGGTTGTCGCCCGACTCAACCTCGGAGGACTTGGGGGACAGCGGATCGGCCGCGAAGAAAGCTGGGTGGCTTTTATCAGTGTGCGATCCGGCGCTGGGATCTCAAGGGAGAATAGACCCTTGGACTCACTCATGTACGACTTGGTTGACTTTGGTGAAATCATAAGGCTGTCACGGGGTGAACACGGTCGATTCTTTTGGCTAGCAATCGACAAAGAAAGAAATACCTCGGAACAGGGTTGTATCCTGCTGTTTGCCTACCGACACTACTCCCCCCAAAAAGCCCTCTCCGCAAACTAACAAATACTCAGCGCCCGTGTGAAGTTTGAGCCAGGATTCCACACCTTTTCGGAACCGGAGCCTCTCCGATGCTAACCCCTACACACCCGCGAGCTACACGACGCTGTCGACGTTGACTCGGCACCTCCAGACCCATTCTACCGATCCTGCTGATGCCGGTCGTCGCCGAGTGGAGCCGCTGGAGCTAGAAATGATTGAATACGCATCCATACACCCGAGTGGAAGTCTGCATGTTAGTCATTTAGAATTTTCCTTGGATCTACCTACTATGTAGGTTCATCTTCTCGGTCCGGAGAGTGGGGCCATAAGTACCTGTACGACGCTTTCCGGGCCGGGGGCCGACTCGGCCGAGCTCGCAAATTCCTTTACCCGATTCGGAAAATAAGCTAGTCCGAGGCCCGATGATGAGTCAGCTCGGTGTGGCTCGGTCAAGGCAAGCTCATGTGGGGCTTAGCACAAGTGGGGCACCCGCCGTCTTCGCAATTGTCGTCATTGTCAATTTATACTACGGTCACAAGTCTTCCACAATCCTATGCCGGACGCGACGACAACGACGACGACGACGACTCGACATAATCCCCCCCCTCCCCGAACAGATACGGAGCGCGACGCTCGATTGTAAATAGTCGGTCAAGATCCGGTCTTTCGGTCGGTCTCTGCACTGCTGCTTTTGTCAGAATGTTCAGGGCTAGAACTCTTGACTTTTGCGCCCGGCCGCGGGCTGCGGCGCCGGTTCGCGCGTTCCGGCCGCTGTGTTTTTCCACGACAGCGACGGCGCGCGCAGCAGATATACTCGATGTCGCCTCACTACCTTCTAGGATTATCCCCAAGTACCGCGATCCCCCGAACTCAACCTCCGGCCTCCTCACCCTACACTGGCCGACGCCGCCGCGAAACATCCTCCTGATGCCGAAGCTGCGATCCCCCCAAGTCCTCCGTGCAACCATCGACTTTGCGAAGCACCTGAATAGCACGTACGCTGGCTTGAATCTGATCTTTGAGCCCAGGGTTGCGCAGTTGGTGCACGAGTCTTTCAACTTCCCCATCTACACCTGCGATCCTTCGGCGTTTCCCGACAAGATCGACATGATCACAACGTTGGGCGGCGATGGAACCATCTTGCGCGCTGCAAGCCACTTCAGCATGTACTCGGCGGTACCTCCAATCCTAGCTTTCAACTTTGGTACCATCGGCTTCCTTGCCGAATGGAAGTTCGAGGAGTACAAGCGCGCTTGGAGAGAGGCATATATGAGTGGCAGTGGCGTCGCTGTCCAGGATCTTTTGTCGCCGCACACCAGAGTAGCAAGTGGAGAGAAGGAACACGATACCAACAATGGGGGGCAGTCTGGATGGCACGCCTCGCCTGGCAAGAGCATGGGCCAGAGCCGGGCCGCCAAGATTCTGCTCCGGCATCGTCTGCGGGTCGGCGTTTACGACAACAATGGCCAGAACATCAACAGTCAGTTACTTCCAACGACGAAATCCCAGGCGCACTTGCCAGCAATCCCACCCGAGGACACAATCCTGACAAAGAGAGATATCCCTCAACCAATCCATGCCCTGAACGAGCTCCTCATCCACCGCGGCCCGAAACCTCACCTCGCCCACATCGACATCTACCTCAACAACCGCTTCTTAACGGAGGCCGTCGCGGACGGCATACTCCTCAGCACGCCAACGGGCTCGACGGCCTACAGCCTCAGCGCTGGTGGCTCCATTATCCATCCTCTCGTGAAGTCTTTGCTCATCACCCCCATCTGCCCCAGGAGCCTCAGCTTTCGACCTCTAGTGCTGCCCCTAAGCACAAAAGTCACGCTCAAGGTCAGCAGCAAGAACCGCGATGGCGAGCTTGAGGTCAGTATCGATGGTAAGAGAAGCGCCGGCGCGGGCATTGGCACTGAGATCCGCGTCGAAGGCGAAATGGTCGGCGAGTCTGCCGACGGTGATTGGAAAGGCGGCGTCCCTTGCGTCATCTGCGGACCAGGTAAGGGTGACGCCTCCGATTACGACGACGATGGCTGGGTAGGCGGCCTAAATGGCCTCCTAATGTTCAACTACCCGATCGGGAGACAGTGAATCTCGTTTTGATACCCCAAATGTAAGTAGTACAAAAGTCTTTTGAAAGGCGTTAGCGCTATGCGCATGGGCGCTGGTTTTCGTTGTTAGACAACTGGGTGGGAATGTCTCCATCTTCCAACGGGTTGTATTCTTTCTGCGTCCGCACAAGACGCTATCGACAATTGGAGTCGAGTATCTCCCTTTCTTTGACCAGCTTCCAAGAGCCCCTTTTATCCAGGTTCATGGTGTCTGCTCACGACTGTACAAACAATTGCAGAAGAAGGCAAACTGAAGAATGTCAAACAAGTTTATAATGCTATTATTGGTCAAATCATTATTGTGTTCAGCATGAGCGACCACTCGTCTGGTCGGGTATATTATATGGCAGTGGCCGCGGTCATTAGGCTATTGCGCCTCAATCAAAACTGCCTCCTTCAGATCACTAACGTCAGTTCTCTGTTCCTCCTCAACTGACAAACTCAACAAGCTGAAGTGTAGGTAGGAGCTGTTTATCTGAGCCGTTGACACTATCTTAGGCGCCCGCACGTCTAATCCCCTGTCAGAAGGTGTAATGGTAGGCCCCATGGAACAAGACAAACCGGGTCGGGCGCCTCGTAGTACCCAAAGGTCGAACCGGTTGGGCGTCTCTAGTACGCAAACTAGGATCCACAGCTCTGGATTGGCCCAATTTACCTCTCAAGGAGTGAGTACTTGGGAAGACCCTGCTCCATTCTACTAAAGTCTGCCCGTCGAGGTTAAGGACTTGATTCTTGAGGCTGCCTCAAACCCCGAAACGCCGACCATGCGTTTTGTCTCACTCAGACAAGCGGTATTAGTTCACGAGAGCGACGCCTGCGAAAGGATCCCCCCGATTCCCGGATGCCTGTGTTACCGTGAGCGGCCTAACTACATCACGTTTTGGCCTCTTTGCCGGCAGTTCCTCATGGGCTCGGCGGAATGGAGGGCCTTGTGTCGTACCACGAACCCGAGACCGCCTAGGGATGTAATCGCGGCCACGAATCGCCAGGGCCGGGAAGTCGTGAGGCGAAATCGGCGTCTGGATCCCTTTCCGCAAAAACAGGGTGATTGGAGCTTGACACAAGTTGTGCCCAAAGAGGGGATGCTCGCCCACGAGCTTGGCGACCCGTACAATTGCAAATTGGGTGATCTGATCTTTGTCCACATCCCAACCACCTACAGTACTGGGCCGTTCTTGTATGCCTTCAATGGCGCCATTCATCAGCAGGTTACATGGGATCCCCTACTTGAGCAGCTCACTTCGGTTGCCATGAACATGGTAAACTGGGAACAGATGAGCTACGATGACGGCCTGAAGACGATCTACCGCCGCATGACTCTCGGACACACCTGGCAGCTGGAGGCTCAACAGGGGACGCGCAACCTCCTCAATGGCCAGATGCCGAACGACTGGCCTCCTCCAGCCATTGCTGGCGGCAAAGTCTGGTACCCGGACATTCCTCAATGCCACATCCGTGGGCCGGCCCACCTCCCCCGCCCTCTGACAATCTATTCCAACCGCCAGCCCGACTGGGTGCAGAACATCCGGCTCCTCACGGACGTGTTCGTGGCACTCCAGGAGCTCTATCTCGTCGACTTTGACGGCTTCGACACGGGAGACGATGCCCTGCGCGAGAAGATGCACCGCTACCTCGACACGCCCCTCGACGGTTCCCCCTGCGGCCGTTGCGAGCGGAGACATCCCGGTAGGCCCAAGACCTGGGGCGGTCTGGAAGAGATAGAGTTCGCCGAGGTGCGGCTATGTCAATGTGCCGCGCCGGGGCTGGAAATTGGTCTCGGTGCGTTCGATACCCATCGTTTCTTCGCCGCCCATTAGTGGCCATCGACGGATGCCAACGGGAGAATGTGGACGAGGCCCATGCCGCAGTTCAAACTGGTTGTGCCTATTCTGCGACGGTGGTAGGTGATACTAGAATATGCCGGGGGGGGTTATAACGAGGTAGGTCGGTGGTTGGAATGATATTGCAAGTCAATATTCCCAAAGTTTTCCTTGAAAGTCGAGTCAGCTGTGCAGGCAACGTGTCGGTTCTGCTTTGTTACTGGCATGCTTTTGTGTCTTGCAACTACAGGTGCCGACAGCATAACAGTAATCCGGGATTCTCGTCATAACGAGCGCTCTAACCTCGGTTTGACGTTCCTCCGAGGCCCTCTGCAAACCTTCACCCAGCAGAATTCCAGGTTGTTTGGGATTCGGCGGCGAATATTTCTCCTTTCATCTTCTGGACCAACGGAAAGCAAAAATAAAATGATAAAAAAAAAAGAGAATTTCCGTGTGCAAGGGGCTTGACTTTTCACAGGGAAATTAACTCGACCTTGGCCCATCGCCATCTAACTGGAGTTTTGGTCGTATTTCCACAAGTCGACCGTTGGTTGGCTCGTTTACGAGATCCAATGGACCATTTACAAGGTCCTCTGTGTAGGCTGGTTATTCTCCGACCTTTGTGAGTTGTGATATCAGACAGCCATGACGCCTCCGCAATGGCAAACGGATGCAAGGCGAGTCTACAGACAAGCTGATATTGTCCCCCCCCCTGTCAACCCGAGAGTACCGTGCACAATAACAGCGATAAACCTCATATCCTAAAGGCTACAGGTTCAAATCCAGTTTTCTTAGATTTTTTTTTAATTGCAAAACGGCTCCGCCAGGGAAGGTTAGAATAGTACTAACCCACCCTGCTTCCTACGCTGTGCTCCAGGTCAGGATAGGCCAAGACTATCCCATTTGCCTCTATTTTTTTATTAAGATGGTTGTGTTATTACTAAATCTACTGTCTACTGAGCTTTATTGCTGTCATTGTGCATGGTACTCTTGGGTTGACAGGGGGAGGACAATATCAGCTTGTCTGATCACTCATGCAAGGCTCCCTCCCCCCCCAAGTCTCACATTGCTGTGTTGTTGTGTTTTGTTATACTTTTCGGCATGTCTACAACCTGCCTCTAAAACGCGCTCTTGGCTGACGACATCAGTTGTAAATCGTGGCTCGGCTATTCTATCAGTGGCGACCTGTCAGTGGCGACTTGTCTAGAGAAAGTCTCATCCCCCCGTTAGGGCCCTCCGGCCTGCAGAATCGTATGTGGTTTGGTCCTATCAAAATGACTCCTCCGGCGCCACGGCAATCCCTCTCACCGCTCAGGCGTACGGTTCCGCGCCGGGGACTGAATACTCGATGCCAAACGTACTTAGTGAAGTCTACTTATGTCTGATAGTTAATCTTATTGGCCGAAACACATCGGCATCGCCTCGCCCCGGAACAAACGCCGAAAGTTTTCAGAAAGTAAGCGGCAGCTCTCGCGTGGTAAATATGACATTTTAAGGTGACAGTTTGCATGGTTACACGTGATTAGCTGCCTCCCCAAACTCTATAGCCTCGGTGTGCATGTTCTTTGGTCTGGAACGTTGGCTACCTACTATTACCCACCAATTGACTTGGTCCGCACACCAACCACCAACAGCCTCGACAAGCGCGCAACCGTTGGAGGTTGCTGTAAAGGTTTCCCCCCCGGCGGCAATTGTCTGCGGGCTTCGAAGAGTGGGTTCTCGGTTTTCGAATTCAAAGTCCATCCCAGTGAAGTGCGAGAGACCCTAGCACACCATACCATGCACGGCAAGCTGCAGAAGCAAGCAGGGTTGTCGGCTTTCCCGCTCGGCGCTGTGCCGTGTGCGCTGGTACGTGCCCGCTAACGTTAAAAAAGAAAAATGGAGGAAAACATGATGCGCCTAGCCAGGAGGGCCGATATGGTAGAGACTAGTAAACCCCGGTCTCCGACGTGTTGGTCCAGGCAGTCCCATGGTGCCCTGCCACGAGGCATAGACTCTAAAGAGCCGAGAGTTCGACTTTTCCACAGACCAGCACAGCACAGCCGGCCTCGAATCCCTTGTGTTCATTCATACTCTTGCTTTCTCTCACGGTTAGGTGGTTGGTTTTATCCTTCTTGTCGCCGGGTGCCAACCGCGTGCTCCCTGTATGGCGAGCCAGAGTCTCGGTTTTGCTGCCGCAAGTTTGCCGACGCAACTTGCAAGTATCGTCGTCATATTTGTCACCGAGTCTTGCCTGGGATCGCTCGGCACGTTGCCTGGGCCATTTGTGTCGCTCCATGTCCTACTGGCCGAATCCTGACGGGTCGCATGACCTGGCCTCACCTCACTCCACACCACCGGCGGATACAGGCTAGCTAGCTGCTTGTCCAAGACATATCTCACTGCAACTCTAGATGCGATGATCTTATTCTGTCAATCCCGGCTTCTAGCGAAGGTCGGCAAGTCGCCGGCACGGTATTAATTAGATATATGTAGTATCGCGGCACGTTTGATATTAAAGCCCCACTTGCTGATGTTCAGGCTTCTGTTCTTCCTTTCTAGAGAAGTCCCCATCGTCACCCGGATCTTCGTTCCCCGGCTGCTAGCAACTAGCTCGGCTCCAGTACAGCAAAACCATGCAACTAATCTAAAGTCCCCTGTCCCGCTGCGAAGAGAGAGAGTGAGTTGCACCGGTGGCTTCCGGCTGGCCGATGATAGCGAGAAGCTAGTGTCGTACGGCCTTGGATACAAAATGGCGAAGAAGAACGCCGTTTTTCAACGACCTGCTTGCCAGACAGCTCCGAGTCAAGTTCAAGACGGTGGCCAGTCGAAGTCGCCGCGATCCTGGAAAAACATGACTCCTACTTTCATTGCCAACCTGCTGGCTGTGGCCTGTCTTTCTTCCATCGCCACTTCCATGTCGGCGCCAAATCTGGTATCTTATCAAGAGAATGGCACGGAGTACGGCTGCAGATGCTCCCCGGCAGACGATTGCTGGCCGAAGCCAAACGCCTGGGACAAGCTCAACAAGACCGTCGGAGGGAACCTCGTCAGGCATGTCCCGCCGGCAGCCGTCTGCTACAACCAGTTTCGCGGGATAGAAACATACGATGCTGCCAAGTGCGCTGAGGCAACTGCAAAATGGACAGACGAAGGGTGGCAGTAAGTTTGTTACTCCATTAAACTTCGAAACAGGCGGAGAAACAGATGACTGATTACAGACCATTAGGATTGCCCAGCCGGCATCGCAGCTCTGGACCTGGGGAAGCAACAACACATGCGAACTCACTTCGGACCCAACAGGTACGTGCACTCTCGGCAACTATCCCGAGTTCGTCATCATCGCCCGGACGAGAGATCACGTCAAAGCCGGCGTCGACTTTGCAAGGTCGAACAACCTGCGGCTGGTCATTCGCAACACCGGCCACGACTTCCAGGGACGCAGCGCAGGCGCCGGGTCGTTGGCCATCAACACGCACAACCTCAAGGACATCTCCTTTGTTGAAAATTACAGAGGCCCAGGAGACTACAACGGGTCAGCAATCACGATTGGGGCCGGAGTCCAGGGTTTCGAGATCTCTAAAGCAGCTCATGCCCGCGACCCGCCTCAGAATGTGGTGACGGGCGAGTGCAAGGTACGTCTCGGGCGAACAGGCCGCTGGTCGCTCAGCTAACAAGGTTTTAGACTGTTGGAGTTGCAGGAGGCTACCTGGGAGGCGGCGGCCACGGGCCCTTATCCAATATCTATGGCTTCGCTGCAGACCACGCACTCTCTTTTGAAGTACTGACTGCATCCGGCCAGTTCACCGTTGCGAACTCCGATGACAACCCGGATCTGTTCTATGCCCTCAAGGGAGGCGGTCCTGGTAACTACGGAGTTGTCTTGTCAGTCACTCTCAAGACATTCCCAGACGTCACTCCAGGGGCAGCACTCTTCCTGAACGTCAACGCCACCACTGGTGCAAACTTTGAGCAGGTCACAAAGGCCGTCAACAAACTCCATGAGATCGGGAACCAATTGGTCGACAACGGGCTCTACGGCATCTACGAGCTCTACCCGCCAGCCCTCGGTGGAGCGTTGCACGTGCAGCCCATCATGGGTATGGGCAAGACCGCCGGAGAACTTACTGCTGTCGTACAGCCGCTTCTGTCGTATCTCGACGCCGAGAACATCCCTTACGACTTCGGCGCCAAAGAATACCCCGACTACTACACCCTATACAACGACATTTTCGAACCGGAGGCTGCGGCTCAAAACGGCCTCACGGGCGGTTGGGTTTTCACCCACGAGGACATGGCGAACAACCAACCCGCCATCGCCGAAGCGATCCAGCTGGCTCTGGCTCCAGCGCCCAACAAGACCGGCATCGTCATCAGCCACTTCTTCGATCCCGGCAACAAGACGATGGAGGCCGACAGCGCGACTCACCCGCGATGGAGGGGAGCGACGATGCGGACGATGGCCATCCTCCCACAGCCCCTGGACGCAACCTGGGCGGCGAAAGTGGCACTCAACGACCTCATGGTCGACACCATTACGGAGAAGTTCAAGCAGGCTGGGCCCAACGGACTAGCATACGTGAATGAGGTAAGCCTGATAGTATTTCCGTCTACTGAGGGGATGGGGAGGGCCTCGTTAGGCTAACTCTGGCAGAACTATGCCTTCATGAAGGACTGGCAAGACGCCTTTTGGGGACCGATCTACCCCGAGCTTGTCGCTACCAAGAAGAAGTGGGATCCGGAGGGCGTGTTCTATTCGTGGTCCACGCCGGGGAGCGAGGAGTGGAGGGTTGTTGACTATGCCAACCGACTTTGCAAAGCGAAATGATTATTCTCTTCGGCGAATGAAGATGTGATTTGGTTTTTTGAGATACCATTTATGTAATCAAGGCAACCGTCTCAGGGAGTTTGATTTTGGTAATACAGACAACACTAATCAACTCCAATTTCACTGAACCGCTATGGCGCCACTTGGTTTATCAAGGTCCGTCGCCGACGCTATACCTGGCTGGAGATTCCTATGCCACTGCATGACAAGCCAGACGTCCTTCATCGGGTATCCTCTCGCTGAAATACCCGTCACAGCAAAATGTCTCGTATTATAAGTCCAAAGTTATGTGTGCACGCATGGGAGTATCTCAATTTAAGTGGCCTCTGTGGTGCACTACCGCTTCTAGAGTCGTCAATGTTCAACTTTTCAATGGTAAGA